CACGGTGGTCAACATGGCCCGGAACATGGTGGCCACGATGGTCACGGAGAAGGGGAGGGAGCACACGGACACCAAAAGCGCGGCGGGGGTGTCATCGACAGTGGTAACTCTGCGAGCTTCGACTTTGACAATGAGTTCACCAACGAAGTGAACAACGCCAACATTGATGACCATTCACTCGATGTTCATGAGAACACCAATATTGTGACACCTCCACCTCATCCTCATGGACATGGCGGACACGGACCCGAGCATAAACGCCGGGACGAGGAAGAGCCACACGGACGAACGATTGACACTGGTAACGATGCAGACTTCGATTTCACAAACGAATTTCACAATGAGGTGAACAACTACAATGAGGACAACCACTCAGTCGACGTGGCCAAGAATACAAACGTTCACGTCGCACCCCCTCACGGCGGTCCTCATGAGTCGCATGGCCACGATGGTCAAGAGGGCCACCACAAACGTGCGTATCGACCAGACGCCGACTCGGCTGCTGAACCTGGTAAGGTGGACACTGGGAACACAGCCAACACGCAAGTCTCGAACTCGGTTGACTCGAAGACCAGTTCCGCGAATATTGATGACCACTCGGTTAAGGTGCACTCTGACGTCAACGAAACCGTTGGTGCACCTCACCATCATGAGCACCATGAGGGTGGGCATGAAGAGCCTGGCGAGAATCATGAGGAGGAACCGTCAGAGCCTGCTGAAGATGATCAGGAAGAACCGTCAGAGCCTGCTGACCATCAAGGGGAACCTTCGAAGCCGGTGGAACATCAACCCGCCCAGCCGGTGGAACACCCTCAGGAGGAGCATAAGGAGCCTGTTCCTACGTGCACCACCTTGACTCGCGAAGTGGTGCACACCGTTGTCCGCACTTTGCAGGGCCACTCTGAGGCCACACACGCTCCGCAGCAGCCGGCGGAGGTGAACACTCCCGCTGCTCAACCTGAGGAACCCAAGGAACATGGAGAATCCGGACATGGCGACCCCAGCCATCAAGCGGAGACCCCCAAGCCGACAGGTTCTGATGGCTCTCACCAGGAGGAATCCGGACATGATGACCACAGCCCCAAGGAGACCCCCAAGCCCACCGGCGCTGATGGCTCTCACCAGGAGGACTCGGGACATGCTGAGCCCAGCCATGCAGCGGAGAGCCCCAAGCCCACTGGCGTTGATGGCTCTCACCAGGAAGAATCCGGAGACGATGACCACAGCCCCAAGGACAGTCCCAAGTCCACCGGTGATGATGGCTCTCCCCACGGAGAATCTGGACATGATCAAGGCAACGAAGTAGAAGACCCCAAGCCCACCGGCGTTGATGCCTCCCACCATGAACAATATCCCTCCTCTCATGAAGAGGCTCAAAGCAGTAATGCTTATGGGCCCGCTTCTACTCCTGCCCATGGACAGCCTCAGCAGGGCGGCGACGACGACTCCCACTTCGATGTGCCATCCTCCACAACGCTGGCTCACATCGCCATTACGCCTACCCCTACCCACGCTCCTTCCCACCTGCACGGAGTTCTGACCTCCACAGAGACCGTTTCTCGATCCTCCGTCCACGTGGTGCCCATTTACGTGCCCTCCAACAGCGGTGCGCATGTTGCTGAGACTCCTGGCGCCACACCATCTGCGCACGTCCCGATCGGCGTCGATGCGGAGCACAGCTCTCACGTCCCACAAGGACCTGCTACACCCTCTCCCTCTCATCACGAGGTCATGTTCCAGGGTGGTGCTGCGAGCCTGTCACCTAGCGCTGGTGTCATTTCTCTCGCTTGTGGAGTGATCGGTCTCTTGGCCTATGTGTTGTAGATGCAGCGGTGTCTGTAGTTCATTTTCTTTTTCTTCAACCCTCGATGTCGAGGTGTAATGTTGTGTAATTTGCTGTACTCTTAAGATTAGTATAGGATCGCCGTCTATGTCTTTCGTTCAGATCCAAGTTTGTGATGATCAGCTTGTTAATGAAGTTACTCTTTAAAACACTGTGCCTAGTTAGGCTGAAATGCTCCTTATCTTCGGCTTCCTCCACAAAGTACCTAAAGTATCCCATGTATCGCATAGCTGCAAAACAGCCCTCGTCCTTGTTGCATCCATCAAATGACCCTTCTCCAATACCTCGGAAGTTGAGCATTAGTACCAAACAGGTAACCGCGCACGTGCACCGCTCATACCCTACAAACACTATACAACCACCTCACCATCATCTATGCTCCAACATCTCACCGCATAATTCTCCATATTCTACTCCTATTTCAATTCTTCATAAATAACCACGAAAGACAAAACCGCCGTAGATCAATTCTGTAATGCACCCTTGCATAGTAACCACCCATGTCCCCAACACTGATATCATAATCCCATCATGCACCCGTCGCAAGTGACAGGGCACGAAGTGACATCACATATGGCGGCCACAGCCCTATATAAATCCATACCAGCACTGATTCCACTTCCAATTCAGAGAAACAACTTAGTGACTCAATCTACTTCTCCTAAATACACCGCACAAAACTTGACCACGAACCCACTACCACTACACCCCACTTTACATCCACCAAGAATCAGATCAGCAGTAAGAAACTGATACATACAACAATGTCCTCCTCCTCCTCCTCCCACCAAGGCGGCACCCTCTCCGAAATGGCCCCCAGGGGCACGACCATCCCCAACGACGCCGGCAAACAAAACACCATTCCCTCCGGGCCGCGCCCCGAGCAGCGGTCCGAGAACCGGCTCTTCGATAACCAGGGCCTCGGCCAGCCGTCTTCGGCCTTCGCTGCCGATAACGATGCCACTATGCCCCGTGGGCCGAGGGACCCTGGCATGTCGGGTGAGGTGGTCACCGGGACGAGCAATACGTTGCCCGCGGAGGGAGAGTCGAAAGGGAATCAGATTGGCACGGATCGGCCTGGTGTCCGGGGGGATACGAGGAATTTGAAGCATGGGAAGGTTAAGGGGAGTGAGTTGGATGAGTGATTATTTGTTTCTTTTCTTTGATTTGGTTTTGGTTGGGTTGGGGATGGAAGTGTATGATATTGGGTTTATGTTTTAGAGTATTGAACTGTTTATTGTATGAGTTATGGGCTATGCCAGTGTGGATGTCTAAAGTGTTTATCTAAGAGTTATCTGTATGTGTATCATGATCAAGCTAGGCTTGTCCAATAAACCCTCTGTAGATCTCATCCAAAACATCCCGTTTGCGTTTCCGATCCGCTTGCTCGGCTTCCTCAGCCTCGTCCGGCTCCCCCTCTGGCTCCCTCGACACCCAGGTGCGGATCGTCCCGTCCCCATGCGCAGAGAACATCTCCACGCCCTCGCCCGAGGCGCCATTGCCACGCCAAACAAGGGCATTGATTCTTGCGGCACTGAGCGCGCTAGACCGGCCCCGGAACTGCTGCTGCCCGCCCATGAGACCCGGGACCTTGAGACGCTTGATGAAAGACCCTTCGCGCAGCTCGAACATAAGGATCTCCCCACGGTCATCGTTCTCACTGAAATTCGGCCACAAGAGCGTCTCCTGCCCCGGACCCATGACGCCTTTGGGGAGGACTAGCGGTGCCCGTTCGGCGAGGTGGGAGGTCACGGCGTTGCGGACCCGGGGACCGAAGTGCGCGAGAGTGTTTGCGCCCGTTGAGGCGTCCCACACGCGGATCCGCGCGTCCTGCCCGGTCGTTACTAGGTGTGAGCCGTTAGAGGTCCAGCGCACGCCGGTCACGGCGCCGTTGTGTGCCCGTGCGTGTGGGGAGAATGCGGGCCGGCTTTGGTAGTTGGATGGTGCGCTGCGTGGTGGTATCAGGCCGACGGCGTCGTCCATGTCCAGGGCGGCGATGGCGGAGTTGTGGCCCCCGCGACGGATATCGAATAGAATCACTTTGTGGTCTGCTGATGCGGATGCCAGGATATGGGGTCTGTGGGGGGCCCAGGAAACGGATAGTACTGAGGAGGAATGTCCGGGGAGTCCGTGGGTTGATAACCCTGAGCGGAGGTCGAGTAGTCGCACTGGGCTCTCGGACGTGCCGGCGGCGATGAGGAGAGGTGAGGCGGGGTGCGATGACATTGAGTGGGCATATGGTGTGCAGTCGAGTTTGAAGGTGTGGACTGGGGTAATGGCGCCGGGTGCTATGGCTGAGAGTTTGAGAGTGCCATCGCGCGAGGTTGACAGTATCGTCGACGGGACTGGGTCGAAGGGGTATATCGATATGGAGGTGATGGCGTGCGTATGGGCGTCTTCATGCGATGATTTTGTGACCGAGGCGATGGATTTGTGGACGTGGCCTAGTTCTGAGCCTCTGGATTCTAGGTCCCAGAGGTGAATGGAGGGGTCTGCGCCCCCGGAGACCATACTGGTTTATTCATTTAGTACGGTGGCGGAGGACAACAGCTGGGGGGCATACAATCGTCCGTCATATTGATCTATCGCCAGCACATTCACCCCGGCCTTGTGGGCGTAGAGCTCATCCTCGGAGTTCAAGTGTATATCAACAGCTGACGTCGGCTGTTCATGGTTTTGGCGACTGGAGAAACGGATACCGGGGGCTGGTTCGAGGTGGTGAACGAGACGGCTCGTTTGCGCGACATGGAATGTGTGTGGACTGATGGACCCAAGGGTCCTATTCAGAAGATAAGAATTCATTCATTAGGAGTGTGACCACTACGATCGTTGGTTGCTGATCGTTGATCGGCTTTGATCTTATCGTCAGATGCGGGGCGGATAATAGTTGCACCGAGCATTTGTTTTGGGTGCTGAATCCCGTACAAGATACTGCTCACCTTCAAGTGTATTGAATGTATGTGAGCATTGTAAAGACCGGCCTGATGCGACAGTTGCTACAATAGCAACGGGGGTTATTTGGGAGTTTTACATGTCCAACCTACCATCCCCCCACGCCAGATATACTACTCCATGCTTGCACTGAAACCACCAGGATGTTACTTAGGGCTTCATGGATTCGATGATGTGATTTACGAATACCAGACTGCTATTGGCGGAGAGTCATCGTCCACAACGATGTTCACTCCGAACTCCGATGAATCCACTCCGAAAGAGCCTGTCGGAATGATACCCCGAGAAATACTTGCAGGTCGGAATATATTTATAAGAGCACGTCAGATTGACTAGCTGAGTATCAGTTATCTTTACGACCTACGCAGGAGATTCTAGATCCTGAGGGAAGCTGGCGAGGTCATATTTTAGTCCTTTGGCTTGGAACGTAACCATGTTTTATAAGGAGCTTGACCGTGCCTGGTCTGTCATTAGTTAGGGCAATCGAATCAAGGTTAAGTCATCACCATGCTGCATGGCTCGATTTTTTTATTTGCTGAGACAAATTTAACCTCATGCGCTTGAGCTTTATTTAACCTGGAACCCACGTGGCTATAAATACTCTGATGTTGTGCTTCTCTAATTGTATGATGGCCTCTCGAAAAGTCCAGGTCCGGTCCAAAAGCCACAAAGGTAAGATACCAAACCTGCTTGGATCTTACATCAACTAAGCATGAGCAGACTTACTGCTGGAATATTCATGGTCTCTTCTTGACACCCCATCCACCGGAAATCCATGGCAGTCGGTGGATATCGTCCTCCGGCATGTATTCTCAGTAAATGCAAACAGCGCCTGTAATAGCCTCGAGGACGCATATATCCTCGATTCTGGCCCGAACTCTGCGCCTCAAGAATATGGACCTGAAGCTTTCGGTTCACATAAAGCATTCCAGTTCTTCCTGCAATGCTTGCGCGCCGCAACCACGTCCAGGCCACGTATAGCGAAGCTCATCGTGCCCTTGCAGAAAGGGCATCTTGTCCGCTCAGACATTATTCCTCTGCGTCTTCGGGACTCCCAATATGTTGAGACGGCGGTCTCATTTGCAGAGCCTTTTCAGAGCTACACAGGCTCCGCAATTACACTTCTCGATGCCAGCAACCTCCCTGAACTTTTCTCCGCGGCCACAGCCGGTCTTCTTTTGCATCATAATGTAGACTCTGATTCATACACCGGCTTTGAGGCATTGTCCCTAGCTGTTGAATCAGACTTGGAGAACAGACTCTCATTTCCGTGGACACTGTCTGAACCAATACATCGGAAAACACTAGTACTAGTTGATGCAAATAGCAGCCACCCCGAGGACGGAGTAGGCCTTTACCATGCCGCTCGAGTGCTCGGCATCGACATCGTCGTGCTAGACAATAAAGGGCACTGGCTCGAAGGGCCCGAGTATGCACACTGGCGTGAAGCGTTCATCCCGACACGTCTCACCAACCCACCCGAAGAAGACGTGGCTGACCGAATTGTCGAATCCGTGAAGGCATACGGAAAGCCGGTGGATGGCATTGTCACGTTCGCGGACTCGTTCTGGCCTTATATCGCCCAAGCTGCGCCGCAGGTGGGCCTTCAGACAGCTTCACAGGCAGCACTAAGAATCGCCACGAATAAGTACCTCACGAGCGTATTCGCCGGCCACCAAGCTTATCGTGCGTCGAGCCTAGATGAGGCTCTTGACATCGCGAAGAAAACGGACATCCCTTATCCGCTTATAGTCAAACCGTGCGATGGCTGGAGCTCGGAAGGTGTATCGCGTGTCGATAACCTTGACGCGCTTACCATGGCTGTCAACTCTATCGATGTGTCTCGCCACGGAACGGCATTCGTCATCGAGAAATACTGTGATGGCCCCGAAGTCGACATCAATTTCGTCCTCCTGGACGGCGAAGTCCTCTTCTTCGAGGTCTGCGATGACCTCCCCAAGTCGGCAGATATCAATGGACCCAGCATAGGCTCGCTGCATAACTTCCACGAGCTGAACAGCGTCTACCCGTCCGCTCTCCCGTCCCAGGAAATCGACCTCCTTTGCAGAAGCTTCCTGGACACACTACTCAAGCTCGGTCTGAGGAACGGCGTAATGCACCTCGAAGGCCGGGTCGAGTATTCATCAGTCGAGTACACGAAACAGAACAACAACATCATCGACCTGTCCCCGCGTGCTCCGACCCAGCAACCACCAACGCCCTGGCTCATCGAGATCAACCCCCGTCCTCTCGGCATGACGGGGTCCCACATTATCGAATCCACCTACGGAATCGACTACTGGGGTCTGGCGCTGCTCATCGCCGTCGGCGACAAGCCCCGTGTCCGTGCTCTATCCCAGCCTTTTAAGCATGGGCCCCAGTATACCTGTGTCATGGTCTTCATTCCGGCCGACTACCCCATATATTGTGAAGGCATCTTTGACTCGGATGATATTTGCGCAGACTTGATAGCCCGCCGACCAGATCTTGCGAAGCAGATCAGTCGTTGTGCTTGTTTGGTCAAGCGGGGCCAGATAATTGCCCATCCGAGTTCCGGCCGTCATACCTTTTTGGCGTATTTTAATGTCTTTTCGAGGGTGGGGAGAAAGGAGGCACTCGATTTGGCGAGAAAGGTTAGAGAGGAAGTGAGGTATTCGTTTATTTGAGGGCGGTTTGGGCTTTGTATAGGCAGTGATGCTGGAGTAGGATTTAAGGTGAATTAGTAAATCTATGGTGGAGAGGTTGATGCGCTTATAGAAGCTGTTGATGGGATCAAGGAGGGGTGCGAGAGTTCCTATTCTAGTATATATTTAGTTCTTCACCTCAAGATCATCTCGCTGCACTACAGGGACGATGACCTTGTGGATAATGATGGTTTATGAATATTCAGCCTTGCTAGATTCTGCAACGCACGCCATTTTGATTCAACTTGCATAACTACGAGATTGTAAGGCCTCTAGTGGCTCACTGTATTACAGATGGCTCATGGGGAACCCTGTCAGGGATAAGAGGGTAAACATGGCGAGAAAATGTTACCCCCTACGTCCCCAATGACGATGATACCCTCATTGGAAAAGTTCTACAGTCTTTCCAAGTTGACAACACCGACTGATGGCAATCTTGTATTCCCCCCAGATAGTGTAAGCGGGAAGGTGACATATCAACAAGGCTATCCAAGGAACCTGGGCCCAAGCATCCAAAGATTATGGACAGCAAGGTCGATCCTCAATCAATATAAAACCCAGGACAGGTCCACTGTAGACGCTCACTGGGGACTACTAGGAAGCGATATTGTTCCCTGGGCATTACCCTGAATGCACAGTTGTAATCGTGGTAGCCAAACCCAAGGGGAGATGTAGAGCACGGGCAGAAAAAAGAGGGGAGAAAGGATGGTCTCGTCAGGCGCATCTTCACTTCCACCTAGCAGCTCGCTCGAAGATACAAGGATAGGTTTGCCGTATACCCTGGATAGCGCATCCTCATGATACAACAGGTGTTTGTCGGATTAATTCTAACTCCTGGTTGCTCAACTATGGTCAGTGGTCAACTCAATCATAATCTAGACCGGCAGCGACGTAGGGGCAGTTCCCACTGTCATATCAAACAACAAACTGCACTCCTATCATAAGTAAAGCTCGAACTATCGGCTATCTCGTCCTGGTGCTCTCAAGGAGAGCCCTGAGCAAGTCAAAGTCCTATCTCGGCACTAGGTCGGGTTAGTGCGACTATGATCCCAAGCCGTATGCCACGATCTCGACTGGTGTAGAATCTTTACGTTCGGCAAAACGGGCTATGCAAGCAAGACCTAGCTACATAAGCAATAAGGTGCAATCCGTAGGGTCTGATCAGAGTGACCTTTGGCCCAGTTGGGGACGTGCTTGCCCGGACACGTCACACACTCTCTTGTAATTGAAACCAGTACTTGAAATCTATGGAGTATCTAGATAGCCACTCTAATGTAAAACTTATCCAACAAATCCCCTTTACCGATAGAAATGTACCTATCATCACAGGCTATCCTAGCGCTGTCGCGCCTCCCATGCTGTCTTGATAGCTGGGGCGGCGCGGATTAGGTCCTCTTCGGTAACGCAGTCGGCTATACTCTCGAGAGTTTTCTCGACAACAGTGATAGGGTTTGCATCTTTCTTGTCATTGCGAAGACGGTAGAAACGCCAGCGAGATTGGTTGTCTTTATAGCATTCGACAATGATACCATCCAACGGAGTACCCATCGCTCTTAGGTCATCCCATTCTTTCCGGGTAAGGTACATCTCACCAAAGGGGAGATACTCCTGTGGGGACAGCATGACAGACAATTGGCAGACAGGTATGGGGCCGTAATCTGGCTCTGTAACGCTGTTGATCTTGCCTTCGGAATCCGGCTTAGCATCAGGAAATTGTAGGTGCATGCGGAAGTCCACTGTGTTGTCCGAAGCAGGTTTCCATTTGAGGATATGCTCGTCTAGACCAATATAGTAGGGCGTGCTACAGCAGGTGAAGATAAGCCCGTCATTCCCACGAATACGCTTAACCTTTGGGATAATATCACGGAACATCATTTCGATGTTATAGCTGGGATGCATCGACTTCTCTTCGACAATAAATGGTCGGCCTTTCTCAGGAAACTTTCGGTGCATATTCTCATAGGGTCCAAGTACCTCCGCCTTGAGATATGCTAAGCGCTTGTCGAATGGATCGTGAAGTACTCTATGTCCGCCGAGCACTAGTATATCGAATACTAGGTACTTCAGCTGTTGCGAGCCGTCCTCATAGGTATCGATGACAAGTTCACCGTCTATTATGGTATCGTCATGGATCGACAGGAAAGTTTCATCTCCTGGCTTAGGAAAATGCAAACCAGATACATAGCGGTAGTCGTTTTTGCGGTCGATCAAGTAGTGCATCCCAGATACGTCGGAGCTAGTGCCCCCGCGCACCATGTACATTAAACACCGAATTCCATCAGTCTTCTCACAGACATAATAGTCTTTTTGCTGTAGTTCCGCCAGATGTTGCGATGAGAAGCTAAGGGGAGCCGCACCAGGGTAGCCGATCTTGATTTGGCCGAGCAGGTTCGCAACCTTGTGGCGGAGATTGTCAACTTTCTCGGGCTCGACTTTGATGCCCACCACATCTAGGTCGGGGAAAGAAAGGTTCATCGTTGAGGGACAATAGGGGATGTTCCAAGAGAAGGTGTGAGCTTGTCCTCTAGAAATTTACAGCTGTACAGAGTAGAATAGGCAACGTAAACAAGGTCAAATTCTAAGGTGGGGGTGAAAGCTGAGGGCAGTGGGTCTTGATCTGCAGTGGGTGAAGGACACAGCCCTCCGTATATTCATAGGGATTTTGCTACCCAGAATGCATGAACTCACCCTAAGTTGGTGTCTAAAATTGGGGTTTGGTAAAGCGAGATGGCCTATTGCGTAGTAGTCTATGCGGAGAAGCACAGCCAGATGGATAAACAAAAAACAGTGGCTGTTGTGAGATGAGATCGAGGCTTTTATAAGTGAATGATTGTTGTCAATTATATCCCCGAGTATATTTCACTCATATTGTATAAACGTACCAAAAGCTTGAATATTGAATTAAATTTTTCGTGTTAAATTTTTGTCAATTCTAAGCTTGGTATGGTGATGGCGTACATCTGAGATATATCTCCATTATCACATTGCCAGATTGAAGTTGCTTAATAACTTGAATAGGTTGCTGTCTGAGCAAAAGACTCTATTAGTAACTGGTTGCAGACAGTGATAGCCATATAGATATTTCAATTCCCAACATTCCTTTCACCAGAAACCCAGATAAAGAAGACACAACAAACCATGAACGAAAGAACCACCGTACGGAATATGGACTATGGAACGGAGAACGAGGGCTAGCCTTTAATAGAAGGCGGTCTGAGGGAGAAGCTACGCTAGTGAGACTTCCTGGGGCTCAAAGCCATGGAACAAGTTCTATATAGATAGTTTATACCACTTCTGTCTCTACAGGATGAGGCACTCTTGGCTTTGAAATTTCCCTTGTATAACTGATGACCTGGTAATGATGCCTGTGCCACTCTGATTTGATTCCTGAGCGTTAACAGACGTACAGCTGTAACCATCGAAAACATTCAACACTTAAGGCGGCCTCTGTCAAAACGTTTAAAAATTCTGCCAGTTGGACTGATAGGGGAAGTTTCTTATCAGCGTCAATTACGATTGTCAACACGTGATTAACGACAATTGCGAGTCGGACCGTAAGAATTGCAATAAACGACTCAATGTACAATCGCGATAGTTATTAGAGTTCTCGGTGTCAGCGCATGCATCACACAGGCACATCCAAAGTACCAATGCCCGACGGAAAACCCCTTGCGTTAAATGGAAGTCAGAATTCCTTCCAACCTCCGGAGGACGAGGACGACCATCCAGAGGGACCTTCTTTCAGACGACAGAAGCGACAAGCAACTGTCTACGATGCCGTAGCTGGTTTGGGCGACTAACTCGAGCTTTAAAAAGACTTTTCTGATCGATCTTAGGCCGGATAAATGCGCACGGTTTCCTTCCATTAATTCCTTTCTCCTCGCGATACCGTGACACGGCATCGTCTAATTTTCGACCTGTCCGTCCGGAAGAAGTTCTCTTTCGTCGGCAAAATGCACCGACTCGGTACGAGGAGAATGACTTCTACTTTGCCCATGAATCCCTTCCGTCCGACCGCCCGCTCCCTAGTTCCGACCTGCTAGAAGCTATTCATACCTACTCAGCGGACTACTACGACTACGCGACTCCTGACCGCGGCCAGGATGATTACCAAAGCATGGATGAAACGGCGCTGATTGCCATGGGGATACTTTTGGAGGAGATGGCGAAGGAATCGCTCGGCAAAACGGGTGATTTAGTCCTGGTGGAAGGGGAAGCGATAGGAAGCGAGGAGGATCAATCTCGACCCCAGACGGCGAAGCGTGTCGGCCGTAAAAGGGCCAATACTGGTCGAAGTAGCATCCTGGCAAGCTCGGGGGACGAACTCGGGACGGCTGTGAGGAGGCAGAGGAAAAAGCGCACCAAAAAGCCGCGACTGGTTCGGACAGCCTCTACGACCGATGCGGACTGAGTCGTGGAGCCCTTGCGACACGTGATTATACCGTGCAATTAGTGCCAGCTGAACTGTTTTTAGGGCATTGGATCATCCAATGTACTCCGTATTGACCTCGTCACCTCGTGATCTGAACCTTGCGGCGTTCACTAAAGAGATTGGCTGGCGGTGATACGCTGCGACGAAGTTCTCGACTCCCACCCAATTGATCCACCAATAGCCGCTTGCCTTCCCACATGCTAGCTCCTGATGACCCTTGGAAACGAGCTGTGGCATTTTGTGGCGTCTCGCTTGTCAAATGAGACTGACAGCGAGGAGTCATTTGCCTCCCAATCCCGGCCAAAGAAAGTTGTGGGGTATACTGAGCTATCTGGTTTTACCGTGGTCAAGCATGGGAGATTTTGATCCTTCGGCACTTGGCTTGACTTCCATTTGACGAGTATCCTCGGTAAACCATGGCCTCGAAAAGTGAAATGATTTAAGTCTCCAGAGGCAGAAGCTAGAGGCTTGGCCTTTGCTCGTTCCGGCTTGGAAGCCCTGTCTCCATTGGAGGACCGGCCGCTAGACCGTCCTTAAATTCCCCGGACTTCAGCCACCGCTCCTATCTTGGCCCTTCAGCCCCAGACTTCCTTTGGCATTTGTCCTCTTTTGTTTCTGGGGTACTTTCCAAGACAATTAGCCTGAAATCAATACGGTTTCTTCTCATCGTGTACGACAGCCGCCTTGGCGAGTCCTTTGGACGAATCATCTCGGACTACGTTGGGTTCTTCTCGGCCCGCCGAGCCTGTCCAGCTCTGGCTCACTTGCTTGCCGGCATTGAGCTCGAGACCAGATCTCCCGCGCCCTATGGGAACCTGCTAGTCGATCTAATCACATCGTATCTCGAGAAACCCCATTGGACATACTGTCCTGGGTCCCCAGCAGTTTAGCCGGACAATGTAATATAGCGCTTGCCTAGATTTGATAGACGGAAAAATGGGCCGGTTGAAACACTGTCGAACATAATGCTCTTTAAGGTGGCTTTCCCCTCATGCAATGTACTGTTACAAGGGACAGGCGTGTGTCTTCAACTCAGTCGTAGAGACTCGCATTTGCTAAACGACGGACCTCCTTTACTGAATTCACAATGGGTTCGGACACCTTCGAACTTGCCGGTCGGCAGTTCCCCAAGGTGACATGGTGGAAGAATCCAGGAATGAGGAAAACCTATATCTGTCTGGGAATGGTGGTCCTGACGGCGGTACGTTCTCCTGGCTCACTAGCAGTATTCCATCCGAACTCGTGCTCATATTGCATTCTGAATAGGCCACGAATGGTTACGATGGATCCATGATGAACGGTCTTCAAACCCTCGAACCTTGGCAGGAATATTTCAATCATCCCGGTGGCTCTCTTCTGGGAATTCTCAGTGCCATTATGTCCCTGGGATCCCTAGCAGCTCTACCCGTCGTACCGTACACCGCAGATCTGCTGGGACGTCGGATGGGTATCTTGATCGGCTGCTTGATCATGTAAGTTCTTGCCCGTGCGGAGCCACGGTTAGGGTGCTTATAATAGGCTAGGATCCTCGGAGTTGTCCTTCAGAGCATCAGTGCCAATTACGGTATGTTTTTGGCAGCTCGATTCCTGATCGGTTTCGGTGTCGCCATTGCTCACGGCGCTTCTCCTCTATTGATCACCGAATTGGTGCACACCCAGCACCGTGCCATCTTCACCACGATCTATAACAGTACGTCTCTGCATCCCAAGTCCAGCCTTCTTGTGTGTTTCGATTAACAAGATCCAGCCACGTGGTACTTGGGTGCCATTGTCGCGGCGTGGTTGACCTTCGGCACCAACAATATTTCGAACAACTGGTCCTGGAGAGCTCCGACAATTGTCCAGGCTGGGCCGTCGGTCCTCCAAATCATCTTTATTTGGTTTGTCCCCGAGTCACCTCGATTCCTCATCTCCAAAGGCAAGCACGAGCAGGCCCTCAAAGTTCTAGCGGACTGTCACGCCAATGGTGACCAAGAGGACGAAGTGGTTCAGCTGGAGATGCACGAAATCAAGGAAACCATTCGGTTGGAGCAGGAGTTCGAAAGCAACAGCTGGAAGGAACTGATCCGCACCAAGGGCAACCGACATCGCATGATCATCTGTATCACGGCCGGTTTGTTCTCTCAATGGTCCGGCAACGGTCTGGTGTCCTACTATATCGCCAAAATTCTTGACTCAGTCGGATACACGAGCTCCGTCGAGCAGAACTTGATCAACGGCTGCCTCCAGATCCTCAACCTGATCGTGGCTTTGACGATGTGCTTCTTTGTTGACAAGATTGGGCGACGCAAGCTCTTCCTCACTTCGACCGCCGGCATGCTGGTGGCATTCATCGTGTGGACCATCTGCTCCGCTCGCTATGATATCAGCAAGGCCTCGGGGGCTGCGAATGCAGTGGTCGCCATGATTTACATCTACTACGTGTTCTACAACATTGCTTGGTCAGGCCTTCTGGTGGGTTACACGGTGGAGATCCTTCCGTACAGCATCCGCGCCAAGGGTATGACCATGGTGTGGCTCTGCATTGATGCCGCGCGTAAGTGCCCCTGTCCTCTCATGGTATGCTAGTCGCTGACACTCGACAGTTTTCTTCAACCAGTACATCAACCCCATCGCCCTCGATAACATTGGCTGGAAGTACTACATCTTCTACTGTGTGTGGCTTGCCATCGAGCTGGTGGTGGTCTGGTTCTTCTACATTGAGACACGTAATACTCCGCTGGAAGAAATCGCTCGGTACTTCGACGGGGAGACCGCCATGGTCGGTGGTGCTGCCGCCACCGAGAAAGCTCGAGAGCTGACCGAGACATTGCACGTTGAGGAGGTCGTTCCGACTAGTGATACCCAGAAAGACCAGGGTCGCGTGAGCGAGTTGAAAGTTTGAGGATGGCCTCTCCACGGTGGATATTGTACCTAGTAATCGGTGTTGCTCGGCGGGGATCTGCGTGGTTTCGATTCAATCTTTGTTCTATATAATCTATCTGTGATTAATGTAGCGACTGCTTTGGCGCATGCGGACCAAGTTCATTTTCCCTTCTCCCTTGATGTATGTAATGTAGAAAGAAGATCACGAGTTCTAATGGAAGCCAGATGACTGCACCTGACATCGACTGTCCTACAGACTGAACGTCTTCTGTCCTTCCACTTGACAAGTAATGAGTGGTAGTCTGAACCAGTTCCCCATCGAACTGACCTCAGCTGTACCCTCGATAACCTGATACTTCCTAGTCTTAGACGTCCCAATCTACATCTAGTAACTTACACCATGGTACGTCACTGCCCAAACAAACACAGTCGTCTGTTTTAAAACAACACAACGGCCCATTAATCACTCAAACTAATCGAAGAAAAGCCCCCCAAACTCACCAAAGACGAAAAACAAGCGCGCATCGTCTCCCACCTCCGCTCGACCGGGACCTGTCACACGCTCAAAGAGCTCGAGAAGATGCTCCCCTCGATCGCGTCGATCAACGGCATGCAAGTCAAAGAGTACCTGCACGAATTGGCCGACGACGGCCAGATCCGGGTGGAGAAGATCGGAAGTGGGAACTGGTACTGGTGTTTCAGTGGAGAGGAGAAGATGGAACGGGAGCGAAAGGTGGAACAGCTGCAGGAAGAAGTGGATCGATTACGGAGCAGTAATGAAGAACTGGACAGGCAATTGGCGGTCAAGAAACGGGAGCAAGAAGATGATGAGAAGGCGCTGCAGCCCGGTGAGCGAGAGAGGTTGATCCGGCACAAGGCGGAGTTGGAGAAGGAGTGTCAGCAGTTACGGAAGGAGTGGTTGGCTGTGTCAGAGAGTCTGGATGGGGGCAAGGGGATCCAGGAGATGAAGGATGAGGTGCAGCAGTTTCAGCGGGAGGCGCAGATGTGGACGGATAATATCTACGTGTTGGAAGGCTTTGTGAGGAAAATGGTCGGCGGCGATCGCGAGGTGATGGAGATGTTGCAAAGGGAGTGTTACGGGGAAGATTATGTGGAAGGGGAAGGACTGCGAGAGTGGGAATGATCAACATATTATGTTTTTTTATTTATGTACATCCGTCCTGAATCAGGACTCCCTCAGGACTCATTCGAATAACGGGTAGTTATTATAACTCTAAAACCGACAGATGTGGAGGCGCCAAGTCCCAAAGCCCATGAGAACAAAAGCTTGACTGACGGGCCACGCGAATTCGTTGGCTTTTCCACTTTCTCCGCCTCTGGCTTATCGCGAACGCATTTCCCTCACTCCACCAAACTCCTCGCCGTTCATCCCAACAAATCACTCGACATCCTCCTGCAGACGGAGCGCTTTCCGATCTGTCCGACCCTCGACTCCATTGGCCTTCATCCTGCGACTCCCGCATTGAACCTTCCCCGTGTCGTCTTCGAAAACGCTTCTCTCTCCTTCTCTCGCTCTCTCTCTCCCTCACTTCCGGCAATCTGTACTTCCGGGGCTGAGGGCGATACTTGACCCTCTTGCCAGTTCTCTCTCAAGGATGCGGGCCTGTCATCTCCGCTCGTGATTCCCCTGCGCCTCTTCCACCCCCTCCTCTCTCTCCCTCGGTCCCTTCGCCGTCCACCCCCTCTGTCCGACTCGTCGTTTGTACATAGGATCCCTTTTCCGACCTTCCCCTATCGCGTGTGCAATTCCAGATTGGAGGGACAAGCGAGGGAAACGGAAAAAGGAAGCACTAGACAAAAACAAGCATTGCTCGGTCGCGTGTTTGTTTTCCCCATCGGCATTTGCGCCCGACGCTGACACTGGGTCTGGTGGGATTGATTGCCCGAAGCTCCCGACTGGCAGATTGATTGCTCGAGTGATCGATCGGTTTCATTTGGTTGTTAATATCGATCAGTCATTGATTCATCCACACGGCCTTATCTGGCTGCACCGGGGAATTTTGAACGGTCCTTCAGCTATATCGGGCTCACCATTCAACCCCCTTGCGTGGCCGTTCATCTGATTTCGTTGTCTCTGGTTGGTCGTTCGATATTGTGGATATTGAAGTTGACTCTGTTCTTGCATTCCTCCCCTCCCTTACTCTCCCTTCTTTTGTCGCCCCTCTTCGTTCCTCTTTCCCGTTTCTCTCTTCCTCTTACCAACTAGCACCTCCACTCCTCGTGTATGGACTGAGGGAGGTGTGACTGTGGGTCATGTCCGTCAACTCTCCCCCCGCTCAACCCTCCTCGTCGCCGCTTGGTCGGAATCGCAGCTCTCTCTTACACAAGTTTCGTTCGTCACTCGGTCAGCGCAGTCGCAGCCTTACTGATTTCTACATCGAGCCCGACGACCCCTGGCGTTCATATTTCCCGGGGGATGTGATCAAGGGGACTGTCGTCCTTACCGTCGCTCGTCCCGTTCGCATTACACATCTCGTGGTTTGTTTACATGGTTATGTCAAGGTCTTTAAGAATACAGTTCCCTCCGGGGAGACGGCCCCGGACGTGGGATTTCTCGGGCCTGGGCGCGGGCGCCGAGGAGCAGAGTATTTGGGCAATGGGTTGGCTACGCTGTTCGAAGACGAGGTCGTCCTCTGCGGAGAGGGCCGCCTTAAGGAGGGGATCTACAAGTTTCGCTTTGAGATGGTCTTCCCGCCATATGCCCTCCCCAGTAGCATCAGTGTGCGTAATCCATGGCGGCTCATGCAGGTTTCCCCCATTATTCGCTAACGGATGCGGCGTCTAGTTCGAACGAGGCACCATTGCCTATATGCTTACGTCCACCCTAACGAAACCTACCACCATCAACCCAACCGTTTCCTGCCGCCGACGTGTGAACCTCATGGAGAATATTGATATCGCTCCCTTTCCCGCCCCGAAAGCCCGTGTTGTGACACTGGAGCCGGTCTCGAAGCGCACGCGATCGAAGGCAAAGGCGAAATCGACAAGCTCGGATGCAGCACCGGATTCAACGTCGGTCGATGTCTCGGTCAGTGGTGCAGCGGGTTCGGACCATCGCCCTCCGTTAAGTCCCGCTCCTAGTAACGTCAGCTCGTCGAGTCGGATGAGCAACAGCAGCCAAAGTTTCCAAATAGCCAGTGACCCAAGCTCGTCAGCCGGCACTGGACTGCGAAATAGTGAAGCGCGCAGTCTCACGCCCTCCTTAGGGGATAAGACCATCACGGCTAAAACAGAGGTTCTGCGCGCGGGCGTGCTTCCTGGAGATACATTACCCATCAAAGTCACCATCAACCATTGCAAACAGGTACGCAGCGCACATGGGATTATTATCACACTCTATCGCCAAGGACGGATAGACCTTCACCCGTCGATTCCCGTTGGGAACTCCGCGAATGGGAAGAAGCCCGTTTATGAGGACATCTATCCGCGATCCCGAACGGGATTGGGCGGTCTGACGATCGGCACCAGCCGGTCCAGCAGCGTCTTCCGGAAGGACTTGGCGCAGACGTTCGCTCCGTTGGTGGTCGATCCCACCACCTTGACGGCCATCGTGAAAACATCCATCCGCATCCCCGAAGATACGTTCCCCACTATCACGCGGACCCCGGGGAGTATGATTAATTTCCGCTATTATGTCGAGGTTGTGGTCGATCTTCGCGGCAAGCTCACCTCGCCCGAGCGGTTCTTGCCGCGGTTCAACTTGGTCACCTCTGGCAGTAATTATTCTCCCAGTGGCAAGATCCTGAATCCGACCGATGCCAACAGCAACGCCATCACGGCGAATTGGGCGGGGAACATCCTAGATACCGACCAAATCCGGCGAGAGAAAGGTGTCGTCGCCGTCGCCTTTGAGGTGGTGATCGGAACGAGGGATTCCCATCGCCGGAAAAACGAACCACGACGCGCCTCCTCAACCGCGGCGAGCTCGGATCTGCAGTCCTCAGGCGGAAATGCTCAAGGGGATGGGGACCATTGGCCGGCAGATCAGCACTCTGTGCCCAATGGGGAATCCGAATATCCGTCACCGGAAGAGTATGGGCCGCAGGAGCTGTTCTGGCCGGAGTACGGGGACGAGTCGCAGCCGCAGTACCAGTCATTGGGCGAGATTGTATCGACTCCCCAATCAGAAGAACCGATAGACGAAAAGGCGCGCATGCGGCATGCGGAGCAGATGCTGCTTCCCAGTCAACCGCCGAATGAGGCGGAAGCTGGACCGTCGACCGATGTTCCCACGGCTCCTGTGCTTCCCGAGGATGATCACATCAACGGCTACCATCATTTACCCTCACCGACTGAGAACACGGTGCCGCAAGCGTTGACTTCAGCAGAATCAGTTCAAACAGTCGTGCCCGGCAGTAGTGCTCTGAGTCAGCCTTCCGCACCAAGCGATGACAAACAAGAGCTGGAGCGACAACGGTTACAGATGGAGGCGAGCGCGCCAGACGAAAATGGACCGTCCCATAGCAATGCCGCCGATGGACCGAGCGCTCCCGTCTTCCATGACGAAGGCGATCACCAGCTGGTTGGTGGCAATGCGCACGGAGACGAGTCATTGCCGCGCTATCAACGGTAGCACAATACGACGGGCTAGCGATCCACTTTGATTTTCTTTATGATATTTATTTGCATTTACGGTTGGGTTAACCCGGAGATACCACCACGTTGGCATGATTTTGAAGTATATTTATTCTACATTATATTTCTTATTGTCTGAAAACATGGCTTCCCCAGAGGAAGTACACATCGGCGTTAGGTTTGGCATAGCGGCAGGCTATCTGCTCTGCAGTGAATACATCGTATAGCATACATAACTGTCTCTACTCTGTATGGGTAGCTTCACAAAAGATAGTTCGACTTCAAGCTTCACTTATATAATTCACGATGAAAACCCTAGGTGAAGAAACTAAGTTAATGGTATTTTCTGTCTATATAACGTGTGCCGTAGGATCCAACTCCCACTATTCTTCATACCACATCATCCACCCAAGTATGCACATTGTCCATATGACCTTTATCAATCATAGCTATCGTGGCCATACCAGCTCTGAACTCTAGTCAAAAGTCATCTCATAGTACCCTAGCTGAGAGATCCACAGCCTCTTGCTATGAGAATCATCTCTCAGCAAGACCTAATCCTCCCTCACGAAGGAAAGAAAGGTGCATTCCTTACAAAGCCCTAACCATCACTACAAAATACCAATTTCATCGCCCCAAGGCCCTGCATACATTATGACCGAAAACATCGACGTCGGTACACTGTTCAAATCCACTCCCACAAGAGCTCACAGCAATCCGGCCGTCCATGCTCTTTTCTCTAGATCCTCTTGCCGTGCCCACGGTTTGAGCAAGGACTTGACTCGCGATCTTGACCATGGTTAGGTTAATATTGAGCAGCTGAACAACTTGATCGCTTCAAAAATAGCACTGGTCAATTGGTCCCTCGAGAGGCACTTTGTCGTAGGTGTATATGTTTAATATGAGCAGAAAGCAAAGCTAACAATTCTGAAGCTAGACAAGGCACTCATATCTCATCTATACCTTGAGCAAATAAACGTCATTTGCCGGGGTGTACCGAATAGTGGCTTGCTATGTTAGACAAACGTATTTAGCCACTGGGAAGCAATGAATGCTGAACCAGATAAAGGGGGATATTGGCTGTTGGTGCTGCTGCAGTTGCCTCCATTGCGGTGGGCATAACAGCACCTGCAACAACAATAGCAACAAGAACACCATACAGAACACCATACAGAACAGCAGCAGTAGTGACTTCACCAAGTCAACCAAGTCCCCGGTTTTATCACCTGCAATTTTTCCTCAAGCGTAATGAACGGCGAAGGAATGTTCATGTTGTTCAAGCTTGATACCAGAAAGGAGATCCAGTCAGGCGGCATTTTCGATTTCATATTGACGCCCCCGCTGGACTCCCATTCCAAACTAGCCAGCTCCTTCGGCTTTAGTGTGTTCTTCATCGAGTCCTGGCCCTGAGTGGCGCTGCCGACGCAACAGATGAAGAACTTGACCATCCAGGAATTGTCCTGGGGTTTGGTATACTTGGTGCAGTGGCACGAACCGCTCAACAGACATCTATGAGATTCCAACAGCGGAATGAGACGAATGGTGGCTATCATTTCAACCGGGGGCAGAGCTTTTCCATAGGACAGGAAATTAGAGCTCAGCTACGCCGTGCTCAGGTTGATCCGCCATTTACGTTGCAGCTGCCAAGAAGCGTCTTTTCGAGGAGATATCGGGGAGACAGCATGACTATGGCCGGTAGGTCCACAACAACATTAGGACCGATATTCAAGTATGTGGACTATGGTGAGCCATGGTATTCCAAGAATATATGTGCGAACCCTCGTCTATACCCGGGAAGAAAATATATGAATAGTCGCTTTATCTCGCTCACGCGCCTGTGATTAGTTCTGACGATAGCGCAGAAATGGTGTATCCTGCCGGATATCAGCAGACGTTACGAGCGGCCAGGATCAACATCCGGTTGACTCGAGAACGGGTGGCTCGGCTCGATGAATAGGACCTTGAGACTGACTGTGTTGGTCAGCCTTCTCTAGGTGCTGACTCGCACTGGAGGTGGCTGGCATCAGTAGGTCTCATATGATAGGGGTAGTCCGAGGGCGGATTAATTGGGTATCGGCAGCTTTAGAACTATTTTCTGTGCGCTATTAAGATGAGCAAAATGAGAAAACAGCAAGGAGTGACTGTCACTTGGCCCAGGAGATGGTCATGGAGCGACGGTCCGTCGGCTGAGAAGCCATTACAATTATCTTGATGTCTTAAAACCGCCCGCTTAACCATCGTCCGAATCGATTTTATCTGTTGGCCGGAATTTGATACCAGCAGAATACAACTGCTGGCCAACAGAGCTAGAGATCTCCTGGCCGGTATACAAATTTGACAGCTATTCGAGACCGCGCCTGAGAACCTGTCGCCAGTCATCTTTACTGTGGACTCACCAACGGTATAGATATGCAAACAGGCTAGCCTGCGAACTCCATCACCAGATAAAGTGGATCTACACCTGATACGAGCATCCCAGTATATTCAACTATTTCCGTTACGGGCATATATCATAGAACAATCAAACCACCCATTTATTGCTGCTGTTCAGAAAGCTGCCCCCAAGTCCCTCTATCGCCATTTTCTGTGGATGAAACCTTTTGCGGTGTTTGTCTCACATAAATCGATATGCAAGTCATATCAAAACATGCAAATCCCAACTATCAGGCTACTTGTCTCAAGGAGATTGACCATGAGCTTTGGTGAGTGGAATGACATGCAGAGTTGGGGTTACAGTTAAGCCTAGTGGAGATTGATGGATATATTTTGGACTGGGCCATCAGGAAAGATACCGGATGGCGCAAAATTTCTCATTGAACTTCAATCGTGATCACATTTGGGGAACTATTCGGTACTCAAATTGCACTAGGAAGAGATTTAGGGTCTCGCCTCGAGCTGGATGTCGAAGTGCTTAGGTCATTTGCTCGTCTACCAATGAAAAGAAAATGACTGTGGACTTTGATATGAAATGCGGCAATCGCCCTCAAATTCAGCACATCTATCAGAATATGAGCCGCGGCCCCCATCGATAAACGAGGATTGATAGAGATTCCCGGAACGACAGTCAAGTCATACATTACGATCAGTCCCAGCCGGGCGAACAACATGGTCATCGAGGCTTGGAAGCTTGGCCGAACGGGCTATGCTTCTACCCTGATAGGTAATGTGTGGAGCTGCCCATAACGCATTGGCTAAGTACGATGGCTTGGTATATGGAAACACTGCAATATTCCACTTTTATCCTTTTCTTCACCCCTGATAGACATCGAGGATGTCTGTGCGAACGCGACCTGGGTACTTGTGCTACGCCTAACGCTGGGAAGATCAGGCGGCGAATAATAGGGCTTGTACGCATTTCTGCGTTATCCAACGATTTGATTTAAAGTGCATATCACCTCTTACTATGACAACCAAGTACGACCCTTCAATATGCCCCGCATAGACGTTGAGATACACCCGGAAAACCCCCTGGTGGTCCGACTGGGTAATAAGACCTGGACTCTGCCAGGCCTATCTTACTTCCTTCATCTTGCGCATATTGAAGGTGTTACAAAGAGGATCTCTCACACCTGGGAAGTCAGGCTTGGAGTAGCACTGGCCCGAAGCCTTGTGAACAGAGGTGCTCATCGCGTTATAATAATGTCACCATATCGGGCACAAGTAGCCGAGAAACAGATTTGGAAGAGACAACCCGGCATTCAGTATTGCCCAAAGGTCCAGACTTTCAGCGGTTCCCAATTGTCGGAAGTGGGGACTTTGATCGTTCCGTGCGTTATAAGGCTCTTTGCTCATGTCGGGATAGATCAGACATCCTCGAGCGTCGACCCGATGGCCCGTTAAGGCTTCCTCTTTTCCCAACCAGAACAGACTATGGGGATGGTAAAAAGAAATGAAAAACAGCGTGGGCAAGTAGATTTTTCACATCGGAAGATATCAGCTGGTAAGCTGGCTGAGAAGAACGTTGGTCGGTCGGTTTTATGCCTATATCTTCTCGGATGGTGGACATTCTCTGTGTGATACCGACAAACAACGGCCTCTGTTTACAGTACCTGTCACTGGTGTTATTTCCAACTGTTGACCCAAAGCATGCTTAATGGAACGCACACATGGTAGCGTGTTATGGCCTGGGACTTTATGCGCTCTGCCAAGTAGTGCTGTCCAGTCATAGAGACCGGACCATGGTCATTTCAACATGACCACTCCAGCGGAATGTTTGCATTATTGAACATGTGCCCTAAGCTCCGCACTATTAACAAACCATAGTGGCTAACTGTTCCCCTATGGTGGGCTGAACGGTTTACACTTAGTACGATGTCTCCAAGGCCTCCTTAACAATGTGGAGAGAAACTAGTCACGTCCATAAAGGATCACTGGTCTATCCCTACATGCTTGGTACGGTGGCTGTCGAACGGTTGAATCAGCGTTCGAGCATTGATTTATATTCAGCAATTTTGTCTGGAGTTGTTCCATCAATCCGGTTGAACAGGCAGTGTCACTGATGCATTGTCAAGTTGACCAACACAGAATGGTGGAAGTCGGGCTGATGAGCTGGATCTTGACGCATCGTGGACATGGTGTGGTCAGCGGTGTGCTTAGTCGTCGAAGGGGTGTCTATATGTATACCACCCAATGAATCCCTTCACGAAGCTCTCCCCTCCCTACCCCCATCCTCTTGTGAGTATATGCTCAGCATCTGAAACTTCGATTATTTGAAGCTGCCAATCATTGATCGTGTACAGACAACATATTATCAGCATATCCTACGATGCAGTCGGCCGACTTCGTGAACCCACAGGTCGACAGTGCGGCCAACCCGTCGGGAGAAGGGAGGGGGGGTTGTGAGTCAAAAGGTGATTGACGAAGAAATTGGTAAGTACTTTCGAAACAGTTTCTGAGCAATTGGCCTAATACACAGACTTAACTGATTGCGAACTGGTTGTTAACGGCCTCGATAATAGCCTGGTATAAGGGATTGTTTGCAGACGCTCAGTCGACCTTCCCTGAAGAAAGACGGACTGTAAGTAGTTCTTACTCTCTTCTGAAGCAGTTGCCATTAAATACGTTTCAAAGGTTTAATATCCATCATTCATATCGAACCTCTAGTATGGAAACAAACTATCTACGTCATATGAGCCGAGAAAGCTACCCTGGGCGCCAACTGCTTAGAACAATACTGGTGAAATCATTCTTTACTACGGCGAGAGAGTTGCTCAAACAATCTAAACTCTAAGTATACATGGAGAACGTCCATGCACGGTTGATTATAAAGATAATCGAAGACGACTATCAGGCAAATTCGGCCGTGTCGGAGAATGTCATGTTATATTAGCCCACCCGGTTGATGTCCGAATTGCGAGCGGTGCCAAAATTGCAGCTTATATCGAACTCGGTTTCGAGAATGTTCGGTTCACCCTTCTGGTTGGTACTGCGTGTGGTATTCCCATGAAAATGCCCACCGACATCTAAAACGAGATTCCATATATGGGAAAGCATGACTAGAAGGATGGTACCACTGACCGTGGATCTACCTGCTAAGACCACTCTTTAGGGGCTTTTTCACGTCATCAAGGCCTCGAAAAGTCTCGACGTCATGAATGGCGATATTTGTTTATAGTCTCCAATGGAAACCATGCAATGATTGGTGAAGAGCTGGTTAAACCATATCCGTGGATAATTAACAAATATCTTGGTGATTCGCTTCTGGGCTCTAATACAGAGACCAGGGGTTTGGAGGACACTGCCAGGTATCTCAATATGGGCGAACCCATTCGCTTCCACGACTTGCCACTGGCTACTCAAGTCAGAAACTCGATGTACTGGGAAAAGCTACTTGAGCTATGGTATCGACCCCTTTGAGATCCATTTATCACTCGCTATTCTATAATTTAATCTTCTGCCGCTGTGTCGAGTCTGGAGTATCCACTAAAGCATCTATCTCAGCAGTCGCTAATCAAACTCTCCCGCCGTTACTACGCGGGGCAGTCAATTATCCCCCTGGAACTGTATCAGCAAGTAGTCTAGGAGCTATAAACCTTGCCGATAGCAGTTAAGGTTGAGGATACAGTGCGCCCAAACCAACACCGAGCCCAATATGTGCACCAAGCCCGTCAGGGGAATCTAATCAGCCCTTCAAACTGGGTAAGGTGAGCTGAGGAGAATTGCACACGGCTGTTTATACACACCGTTGTGGCCATTGAGGTACAGCATTCAAGATTGGCTTCCGTCACGGTCTATTGTGTGTGAGTATTGTGCTTGTTTTGCATCACGAAGTCTCCTCCGACAATAATCAAGTCAGATGTTGGATCCTCGACTACACCAACACGAAACTACCGAAGTACTAGATTGGAGAACATTCTCAGTCATGGCAAAGGAGCTGTATCAGCGTCTACTGAAAGGTGACCGTGAGAACAGGCTAGAACATTACAATTGCCCTGCAACAAGTCACAAATGTATTTGCGAGGCTGTTCGGAGCTTACCCGCCCTAACGCGAATACAAGTATTTCCTGACTGGGGAAGTGTATACTTTAAGAGATATTCAAGAGAGATCGATTGGACACTACATTTGACAACAAGCTGCTTAAAGGGCCAGTTGCGGGATACATTGGCACGTTGATGTGACCAGAATTTAAGGCTGCACATGCGTTGGATATGCATGTACTCTTACCTATCACCTGACTTGAATTCTTTTGATATTCGGTCATGGCGAGCAAAGGTTATCTGGGGTTAACTCGAGACAGACGCTCACAGGAGCCTAGACTCGAAGAATTGTTTTGCGCCGCAACTCAGAGTCACCTTATGGAATCCGAATTCTCTGACAGCTGGTTGATTCAGCCTAATGTCAACTGCAAGATGCATCTCAATATAACTGGTCTCGGCGTATCTGGGCCAGATAAGAGGCAAGTTCATGGTCAATGAGGGGAAGCATACCAAAGCTATATAGCAACATGGTAGTGCTCAGCGCTACACCTTAGTTGGTCTGGACAGCTTTGACATAAGTCTATAGACCAAATAGCCGAGTACATACAGGATAACCATGTCATATATGGGTTATCTCAACTTACAACCAAACCGTCTTTCTGCGACAGGTGTCCGATCCTACCATAGGCTGGAGACTTGAATATAGCCTGGTCGTTCTGCACTACTATACATACAGCCAAGGTGCATCCGCGACTGTACAATGATTGATCGATGTTAGAAGCGTACACAACTATGTCTATACAAATAAAATGAAGTCATGAGGGCAGTCTTCACTATCAGTTCCGACTTGGAGACTCCTGCTCCGTATGCCGCAAGACTTTATAATGAATATCGCAGAATTTGCAGAGGGCGAGTTCTGAGTTTGTTCGTTTCCAACGACGAGATGTACCTTTCGGCTCAGAATAACGAGTGGGAACTTCATTAGCAACGACACTACTGATCGGACATCCACGCAGTTCTTCACCTTTGGCCTAGCCCAGACCAAACGGACCACAATCGCCTCTGAGGATACGTCGCGCTTCCAAACATGAAAACATCGGTAGTCTGTAAAGCCGCTTGATCATGTCTAGTATGTCTGGTACTTCAATCATGGTATCTGGCAATTGCCGCCATCAAACGCACACGAATCAGGTCTGGACCATCATATAGGAGTCACTTATCTCACACATGGTAACCGTCCTGGGCAATAGATTAGCTCACGCTTATACCTTATTTCACCACCACAGCCGCAGATATTCTTATCGAATATATCCACCGATGACGAGTCTCAGGAATCTTGACCGCTCTTGGTAGAACAAGAGCCATTGCAGTGAAGATGTCCAACCTGCCTTGGTATACTTTGGAAATGCTACAGCTATCAAGAGCCTAACTTGGTTGATTCTTTGGGGCTCGGACATGACTGTGCTTGGCAGAGGTCAGGTTGACCGTGCCACGGCGGCCAAGTGGAAGGTAGCTGTGGAGGTACACCACCCTGACGTCTACGGTTGGCCTCCTAAAAATACCAGGCTTTCCGACGCGTGGCTAGTTGCAAAAAGAGGTTCTTCTGAGATATTCGATTGAGAACGGGGGAATACATGTGTGCCTCAACATCATCGCCAGTTTCACGAACGTGCATATCTACACTAGAAGTTCTCAAGGCCGTCTGTGAAGGGGAAAAGCGAAGTTACACCAACTCTTTTAAGGCCAAGTTAGAGAGCTAGGCAACTAGCTATGGGAGGTTATATTTCCCGATACCTGCTGTCTGACACAATCCCGACAGTCTTGCATCTTATGCTGGTGATGTTCCTGTTCCATCGATCGAGAATTTGTCTGCACTGCAGAGGGATTGGGGAGACAGTTGCTATTTCGACTTAAAATTGATATAGCACTTGCTTGATAATGTAGTCTCGTGTAGAATCTCAAAATGCTGATTTCCTTGTTTGAGGGTCTAAGTATATACCTTTATTTGCATACTCTTTCTTCTATTTTAAAGCCGTTCATGGCGTAAGTTTTATTTTAAACCCATCCGCAGCATTATCCAGCAATCTATATATACAAGTCCCCCACTGCTATACGGTGGTATATGACGAGAGGGTTGACTGAAACCCGGTGCCTGGGGATTATTAAGTCGTAGATTGGCTTCGGGTTTATATAGACTGTTCAGACAAGACATACACCGTACTTTGTGTCAGATAATGGTATCAGGATTCCAATTACCTTTGTAAAATAAATTAAAAAAAAAGAAACAAACTCACAACAATCCCCAGTCCACATAAGCTTAACCCCATAATTTCTAAATCCCTCACAGTGTAACTCAGAACTCAATTACCGAACTTCACATAAACCGAGGCAACCAAACTGAAGAAAACAGAAGAGTATACCATACACAGTAGAACGGCCCAATCACCTGACAACGAATATCAATCAAACCTCGATAAACTAGGCAACATAACTAACCTAATCATAACGAACTAATTACGCCTCTTACCAAATCAAACCCCCTCGAATCGCAATCCCTTTGATAACCGATAAGCCGGAGAGGGATTTAATTGTTGGGAACCCATTCTTCTTGGCAACCGCAACGGCATTAAATTAGCGACCACCGCTTCTTCCTCGTATACGGGAATACCACCCTCAATCTTACCCTCCTTTCACTTTCTCTCAATCCCCCACCAGGAACAAACCAGAAAGAAAGAAACTAAAAGGAGAAAAAAAAGAGGCAAAATGGCCTTCCGCACCGGGTCCTTCGCGACCTTCCTGATCGTCTGCCGTACGTTCTCCCCAATAAATAACCCCAATAACCCTGGAGGGTATGGAGGCAACCCGAACTAACTGAACGCAACACAGCAACGGCCTTCTTCCTCGGAATCATCTTCTCGCTCCTCCCCTACGACTACCCGATCCTATGGTCCAACCACCCGACACCGCCGACACACTATGACTACTTCGAAGCGCACCTGCGCTTCCTGCACGCCTCGCCGCCGCTGATCCCGCGCATTCTGCACATCGTGATCTTCCTGGGCCTGCTGGGGCTGATCCTCAAGCTGTACAAGCCCTCCGAGTCCAACATGCTCTTCGACGGCGCGTCGCTGGTGCTGTACATGTGCGGCATCACGGTGTACATCGCCAACATCGTCAAGGGGCTGCGGCTGGTCAGCGCGGGCAAGTACGGGGAGGACCTCGCCAGTAACGACGAGGACAAGGGCCAGATCCTGGGCCGCGAGGATTCGCTCAAGGTGCTCGCGGCGAGTAATACTATCCTGGCGTTGGTGTTGATCGGCGTGTTGGTTTTGCAGGCCGGGCAGTGGTATGCGGAGCGGAAGGATGCGCAGGAGGTCGAGGATATGCAGGGGAAGAAGGGGGCTGCTGCTTCTGGGGAGGAGGCGGAGGGGGTTAGTTCGGGGGTGAAGGCCAAGGGGGCGGCTAAGAAGAGGAATTGATTGAGTTCTGTTGGGTGTGGTGGGTGAGGTGGTGGTAGTAGTGATGGTGGTTATGGATGGCTAGGGTGTGTGAGAGTAGTGGTTCTTTTACTTTCCGGGTTTATAGGGAGGTATGTGTGGCTTGGGAAGCTGGTTGATATTTTGGTCATTGTAAAAGTGCTCGCATAGTAGTTCTACTCGACTACTATCTGTCTATGTACACATACTGTCTCGTTTCACGATCGTCACGCTGTAGGGGAATCATAAGAGAATGAAAGAGCCAACGAAAACATAATTGCACTACATCACCCGCTCCGGCGCAAAGGAAAACGGACTCCGCGGGAGGTCGGGCGACCGCGGACTCAGCGCCTTGGCGAAGAGGTCCTCGCCCGAGTCGGCGCTGGACGTGCGCGCGATCGTGCTCATCGACGCGAAGCCGTTGCTGTTCTCGTCGCGGCTCTGCTGCGCCTGGATCGACTCCGGCGGGTAATGCGCCACCGTCCGGACGGGTTCCGGCGCGTCGGACCTGGGCGTCGGCTGCTGGATCGTATGGAAAGAGGTGAAGGACGACACGGCGACGTCGGGGGACATGGGGGAGAGTAGATGATTTGTGGCCGCTGTCGTTCCTGGCTGTGTTAGTGGAAATGTACTCGTGCATGGAGATAGGATGGCAACCCACCATCCGACTTGGGAGAGAGCTCGCGCTGGCCCGTCTGTAGCCGCAGGCCCTTGAGCTTTTCTCCCAGTTTGCCTCCGGTACTGGGTGAGACGGGCGTGGTCGGGCCCATGGGGTAGCGCGGGTCAGCAATACTCTGAACCGAGTTCCTCTGCGAGTCGGCAGTCGATCCGACTCCGAAATTCGTCTCGATCCATTCCTTCTCCTGCAGCGCCATGTGCAGGGCGATCCCCTCCGCGTTGGTGAGACATTCCTCCCGGATCTCCTTGTCCAGCGACTGCAATCGTTTCTTCCCCCAGATTGTGTGCAGGACGCCCTTCTTGCCGGCGGACCGCCCGTCCGCGCCCAATTCGGGCGGGAAGATGGCTGGCAGGGGGTTCAGCTGCAGGGAGTGTTTTTTGGCAGCCGACTCCGCGGTCGGGGGTTCATACGATAAGGTGACGACCGGCGGGATGGTGACATGCGGTGGGAGGAGGAAGTATACGCGACGGGTGTGGTCGTTGGTTCGTTCGTCAGCGGGCAGCACAGCCTGCTTGCCTTCCCAGGAGACATGCCAGGCGCCGCCAGCGGAGGATCGGGTCAAATCATCGTCCTCCCACTCAATCATCAAGATCTTGGTGCCCTCATTGGCCTTTCCGGCCTCGAATTCGAAGCGAGCTAACGCCGTGATGGAGAGGCTGCCCGTCGGGACGCGGGGCGTCTCGAGGGCGGCAAACTCGCTGTCGGGGGTGAACGGCGGCGCTTGAGCCATGGTGTAATAGGAGCGAAATCACAGGGGACCGGTGAAAAGAAAAGCAAAAAGGGAAGTAGGTTGCCGAATCAGGAATAACACAAACTCGATTTGCAGGATGACGCTCAGACTGGCTAACAGCCGGGCTGCGAAGATGGACGAGACATCGGAGGAGGAGGAAGTGGTTTGGAGGGACGAACAATGGGCGGGAAACGCTGGTGGATCACGGGATGGACGTCGGGTTTTAGCGCCACGGTAATTTTCCCTTGCAGTGCAAAGAGTCTTATTGTTGCTGCTATTATTCGTCCTTCCAGGGAGGAATGGAGGAGAAAACCTCGTCTTAGTTGAGGGGCTGACGATCGTGGGTTCTAATTATAGTTTTATAGTCTCTTGGCACGGCGGCAGCACGACATCATTGTTGGCTTGTTTGTTGTCTACGCGCAGCCGGCATATCCGCTCTTCTATCCAGAGCATCCCTTGTACTTGGAGTACCATCTTGGACACACTCACCATGATCGGTCCGGTTCTAGCCAGGAAATGAAAACAGATCATATCCATCCAACAAGAAACATGTAACGGAGAGGCCCGTCTATTCGTCTCATGTCAGCAATGTCCGCATCATAGACCGTCACGGGGCGATGAACCCACCACATCAGCTTCCGTCCATACCCGTCCACGTCATGACCTGCGGCTTGAGAATATGCCTTGAGAAAACAGGATAGAGGTCTTCCACCCCTAGATATCCACCTCCTGTGACATCTTGTCCGGAAACCCCTTCGATCGAATTCGTCACGGTAAAACCCACCTACAGGTATGATACCGTATCGTACAAAAGACCAGAATCTCCATTCACGATGATCCAACGTGGAGTCCAAGAAGCATATCACACAAAGTGAGCGGCAATCCGTGGGGAGAATGCAACCATAGTCCGGGCCAAGAATGTGATGCGATCCAGAGTCAACCCCGTCCTGCAGGGGAAGTGCTTAATTTAGCATCGGCCGGGACCATCCACGCCATATCAGTCTGGGGATCTGATACAGGAGAAACAATGACACGATCTCATTGGTATGTCCGCAAGAGTTCACGGAGAGGGGAACGAATTCATCTGCAGTGGATGTGGGAATGATGCACCCCTTATCACAAGTGCTGGCTTGATATAGCCGCCGTGATATCGAGTTGAAGCACTTGATGAAGATGGTGAACCGGGAGATCTCCACCTAGGGGCTATTTGGCGTCAACCGGTACTATTCATAGAATTAGCATGCTGACTTAGGGCTTGGAGAAAACAAACGATATGCAGGAGAACTGACCATTGCCTGGTTTCTACCATCGTCACCCGGCACTAGCCACGGAGGGGTTTGGTTGGGGGTGCCAGTCAGTTGGACCTTTTCAGGACAGTTCGATGATATTGACTTTGGTAGGCTGGGCGCAAAGTTTGAAGCTTGCACAAGACGCAATCACCCCCATTGGCCTTATGATTCCATACGGACGGGCTACGCGCATTCCAATAATCACATCTTCATCCTCATGGCCATCCGCACAGGATACATTTATTGTATATAGCATCCATCAAAACCGTATCCAAATATAGCCCCTTGCGATGGGCGTTACCAAAAATATCCACCCTGGTCTACACCCACCACTAACACCCCCGGCCCTCCAGAAAACGAATCGCCCAAAATAACTTCCTTAGTCTGTGATGAAAATAGAAAGACTGCAGGGAATACACGCCCTAGTGCTGCCGGCATGTACAGGGGGTGTCTACCCCTCCCCCTCCTACGCATGGCCTTCCCCTCTTCCCCTCGGTCCCTTCGTCTTGGACATTGGTCGGTCGCCGTCTGGTCGACCTTCATCACAGTCGAGGGGCATTCACATCTCGGTATTGGCTGACCAGGATGCAGTGACTCCCCGGTCAAAATTCATCACAGCGATCTGGACTAAACAGTAGCGCCGGATTGGTTGCTTATTCCAGTGGATAGAATCCTTCCATGGACGGTCGACGCGCGACGATCCCTATCGCCAGTTTCGATAGTTGATATCACGGCGGCAATGCAGGGTTAATTGTGTGATGATGCACCTCATTGGACGGCGGTAACCGACCACATAAGCAAGTGCGATATTCTCATACATTCTATTGGTTGGGACAATTCTGAAGGATCCAACAAGTGGGATCGCAATTGAAAAAAGCAAAAAGCAAAAAGAAAAAAGAAAAAAGAAAAGAAAGTCAAGGGACAGAGAGACCGTCCCAACATGCCGATGACAAAAATAGGAGCGTAGCGCCGACTTGCAGGTTGTTCGCCGTTCGTCACATTTCCCACGTCATCCGTCGTCCCCACACATTCTCCTGCCCCGCTGCCAATCATCAACCGTTGGCGGACCGTCGGAGGGGAACGTCTCCATTCTCGCCCAAAAACAGTCTAGCGCCGGCGCTTACCTGCAGGTGTCGCTGATTGGCTCTGATCGGACCTTTGTGGTCAACACTCAGCAAGCGCCGGTTCTCTCCAGGCATTGCCTTTGCCTTTGCCTTCCCTCAATGGTTGGAATCAACGGATTGCGGGCTAGAGATGGAAAATGATGGGCAAAAGTCAAAATGGAATGTCGTGTAGCCCCTCCGTCTTTGTTCTCTGTGAAGTTGGTACTCCGGTGTTGTTGGGACTTGAGTACGATAGGCACCGTGAGTGTCCAACATGTAGACGGTCATACAAGTTACCTGCGGCATGATTGCGGCGCAATCTCTACAGTGTAATCGGATGAAACATCTGCTTTGAGAAGTCTTCCATGGACCAGGATCCTGAAGCCACCGTCTTCGAGCCACCCGCCGAAGAATGTAGCCCCCCTACCTGTGCATTCTGCAGAACACATGAAACGTCCAGCGCGTCTTCTCTACCAATCAGGGCGGATAGACGGCCGGGGACGATCACGCTTGGCTTCGCGGTCGCCGATTGTGGAGAGACTCCAAAGGTTGGGTAGACTGCTGATTTGCAGGGGCGAAACATAATCAGCCACCAGAGGGTGCTTGGGATGAAGTCAACCGGCGGTTAGTTCCAGCTTCCCAGCAAGCAGAGTTTACGGGGAGTGATAGAGTAGGCTTCCTGAATCCTTTCATCACGGCTGAGTAGGGCTGGCGCTGTATCGTGTAAATTACATTCCGGTAATATTACACCTGCTGTATTCCACCAATACGCCCTGGACAGACGATACCGTCGAACAGAAACAACTTTGAACTACTGTCGAACCAACGTCCACTCCAACCTTCTTGACCTCCTAGCTGGTTTTCATCACACTCGAATTGGTGTGCCACTGGCCTTCGGTGGGTCTGCGCTGTATTAAGTCCCCAAGCTGCCGATTAATCCTTGACCAGGGAAGCCATGGTGCATCGAGTTGGGCAACAACACGGAGAAATTCGTCCATTGCGTCGGGTGGTAGGGTAGAAACACGATAGGATGCAAGTCAGCGCGCCTGTTTCGCTGATATCGCTTCCGATTGTTTCTTTTGGCGGCTTCCCAGCACCCTCAGCCGCATGTCCCTCCGGAAGGGAAGCCCAATCGCCGCCGTTACCAGATTCCCGGGTCTCGCTGGCGTGCTTTGCTCGATCCTACCCAAGGATCTCGCCATGGGACTGGCTGCGGTAGAGCTAAACAAGTGGAAGGATGCCAGTAGTTATCGGTGCTAGACTAACACGTGTGACCACCACAGACGAGAATGAACCCGAGCGGGGCATCTGGTAAACCTATACGGCCTCATATTGGATCCGGTCTGGCGGGTCGACACTCCAACGCCAATATATCGGTATCGGGATGCCATTTGAGCTCGGGCCTTCAAATTCAATTCAGTACAAGTCATCAGGTCAAAGCGGGTTTCGCCCTATGATAAACCGTCTGGCGGATATGGTTGTTCTTGGACATTCGTATGAACATCCGGTTATGCTCAACACAATTCAAAATGCATTAGGGGAGCTTCGAAGGAACTTCATGTTTGCCTAGCAGACCAAGGCCAAAGACAGTTTGTAATCGCATAATTCATGATATCATTTACATTCCCGAGGGCAAGAAGGACAAGGCATTGGCAGCCACCAGGGCAACATGTCGATTTTCTAAGGACATAGTAGAGAAGACCCCGCATTGCAAAAAGATCAAGGAAATCAAATTAATCATCGCTAAGCCTAAGTAAAAGCAGCTTCCTCAACACCAAACGCCGAAAGCCTGCGCTAGTGCACCTGACCGTTTCCAAAATAAACTTTCATGAGACCGGACATTAGAATTTCTAAGGCTCATTAGAGTCCTCACGCTTTCTCCGCTTTCCCTTCGGAGGGTCCTCGAGCTGTGTTCGTTTGAAGGTGATGGTATGAGTAATGACATGCCGCACGCTGAATCTGCCACTGGGAAGGGCGCTGTGCGGACCGTCCCAATAACGCATTCTCCAGTCCGACGGAGACGCAGAGTAAGGTGAATAGAGGGTGTGTGCACTCCTGGGAGCCTCAGTAATCGGTGAATACCTGGGAGGCGGCGGGATACGTAAAGCCCGCAGGCTCCTCGGGTCTCTTCGCACTGGAGGTGCTGTGTACGGGGTGGGTGGTGGCAGTGAAGCGGCGGCGGATCTAGACGATTCACCATTGAAGCTGAAGGTGCCGCTGACTGCACTGGTTGGGCGTGATGCGGGCTGGGACGTTGGAGAATTTGATGTGGTGGAGCGGCCTTCCCTCAGGGTGTGGATCTTGGAAAAGTCAGGCTCCCCCGTGATGGGGGATAAGATCGGCTGAAACTTCTTGAGAAACTCTGTGTAGGCCGCGGGAGGTGTGATAGGTGTCGAGAGTGGTTCATCCCCCCTTCCGTTGCCTGCTGAAAGGCTGGAAGATCCTGAGTCTTCCTGGAGCTCGGATGGAAAGACCATAGTCCGGGGGGTCTGCAATGGGTGGAGAGTTGGTTTGATAGAAGGCATCTTGGGCGAAAAAAGATCGACAGTTCAAGAAAGCACCAAGATATCCAGACAAGTGAATGAATGAGCAAGGTCGACTTGAGCACAGAAGAAAAATAAAACCAAGTAACGGATGACAATGTCGACCACGCGCCTGACCTTTACACGTGCGTGGAAGTAGACAGTATAGTAGGAGTCATGCAATGGAGCAGACCATAAGAGTCAGACCACAGAGCGAGAGGGTTGGGCCGTTGTGACAGACGTTCTTGAACGAGAAGATATTAAGGAAGCCTCTTTTCTTGACCTCTCGCTGGTCCTCAGTAAAAGAAAGAGAGAAAATCAGGACGCGGAGTGAGATTTATGTTATAAAGTTGAGTTGCAAGGCAGGCGGGCGCTGCAATACAGGTAATAACGTTCACGTCGGTATCGATACAATACCGATGGCGGTAATCTTTCACCACAAGGGTCAGTGTCACGCCTTAGGCCGCAAAGGGGTTAGTGCATCGCTCTCCCCCCAAAGTGCGCGGCTGCAGTCAAGCAGTCAAGCAACAACAAGAGCAACAGCAGCTGAGCACTTCACGAATCAGAGCAGAGACTCACCCAATGGTAGGATTGGTGGCAATTCTTGGCCAGAATCAACAGTGCCGCAGTGAAGGTGCAGAGACAACGACCGTTACGGTCAAAGCAAAGGCTTGATCTTCAACTCTACTCCGATTCACGAAGCTCAGGGAGCTTGACAGCCAGAAGAAGGGAACAATGATCGGTAATGTTTGAACCTGGAAGTGGTTTTCTATCTTTCTCTGTCGTCCTCCTTATACCTTGGCCGACTAGTGATTGCGCTTTCTGCTCCTCAATCCAACATAGTATACCCAACAACCAACAACTTACAAGAATCCTCTGGCGCCGTTTCTGCATCAAATCCCACATTGAGCACGAATCGCCACATGAGGACTACTTTATCACCATGGGCGACAATTAATTATACTTCCTCAAATCGCCAATTTTCGGGTAATTGTCCCTTTTGGTTCGCTCGACGTTAACGCGGACCACAACACTAGAGGTTAGCGGCGGCTCGCCTTCGAAACGCAACCTTGACAAAGTCATCGCCCAAGTGGACTGCATCATGATTTACCCTCACTGCATACTTAGTCAAGCTGTTAGACCCTCGATACACTGTTTATGCTAGCTTTATTGCCTGAAGGAGTGGGCTGGCGGTTACGACCCGTGTTAGCGCTTCCATGACTTTTTTATGTAGCACACATGGTTGCCCCAGAGGATGTTGGAGCTTGCCCACCATACACTAACACAGGATATCTTTCAACGCCGAAGCTACAGCAGTTCTCCACTGATCCAACGGGAGTGGACTCTAGTGGGTTGCTTGGCGCTTTCTACCGTGTCACACCAACTCTTGCAGAAACCTTGTAATTCGGCGATACTACTTATTGATCTAGACTTTGTGATCACCTCTACCCATCTATCCTCCTCAGCTATGGCGGTTAGAGGATTAGACTTGACGCCGTGAATTCCAACATCGCGAGTTTATCCATGTCTAGTTAACAGGTAGTCACCTTCATATGCAAGCTGACCAACCTTCCACGGACAGCATCCGTGCTACCACTGCGCTTTGCATCGCTACTGGTACTAGCGCATTCTTCCAACACTTTTATTTGGCGCGTTGACCTTTCCTAGCCATCTGGCAGACGCTTCCCTGTCACCCGTGTGCGAAGCAAGGGGGGAAGGCCGGCAATATGTTGACTAAACCAGGCCATGTAGTCCAATGGGTGTGGACCATGACCTCCTCCAAGGCCATTCTAGACGGTAGTACATGCAGTAGTTGTTGATGGAGGGACTTGTAAACTTCTCATGACCAATTCTCCCCCAATAAAACGATGGCCTAAATCTGTAGTTGGTTCTTCTTGACCTGTTGCGTTGCTTCCAACATCTCCATCGACTACTGCTGTATGTCTCCAGACGCGGCCAAGCATTGGTAATGAATTCCCCCTCCTTCCCCACCAGGTGCATACCCCTCCATTCCATCTTTTCTCTATTTTCCTTGGTAGGTTCTTTTCCCGTCCTTTTGGCTGTCTTCATTGAACCATTTCTTGCTTTATTCCCTTTCAAAGACTTGAGAAATCCAACCATTCCTCAGGTGGCTTGATTGCAGTAGACAAAGCTCAGCAGACTTGATATCGTGAATGAGCGCGGCCATGAATGATATTTCAGGTTCAGTTAATCAAGTAACCCAGGAATATTGCAGTCTATGCCATGTAGTGAAATAATGAGTAGACTATATCACCTGCTCTTTGCTTCAAGATCTCGCATCCCGCCCCGATCCTTCTTCTTTCTAACATACTCGAGCACCCTCAGTCTTGGTAAAGGATCTATGTCTGTCCGCTTAGCCACTGTGCCTCAAATGGTATCTTAGGTCGTCTTACGACTGCCTCTTAGAGAACAGATGGCCTACGGATACAATGAGCCTCGTTAAAACCATGCGCAGGGTTATCAAGTAACCGCGACTCGAGTACTATTACGGCCGTTCGGACCCTAGACCGTTTCCTTCTAGCTCAGATCGGGTATAGGTATTTTAAGTGAGTGATCCGATGGAAACTAACTTGAATAACACTGCCGTCATTTTTGTCTAAATATGCATATTATCTGTGGATATAACGGTACCAACTCAGAGATTGGCTGATACTCGACTGTAGACATCTGTGCCCCCGTACGACTTGTAAGGCACCTCTCGGCCGCGATAACCGCTTGTACGTGGAATACGTTGGCCATGAGCAATCCCAATTTTGAAGCACTATTGGGCACAAGTAAGTTACCATGCACTTCTTTTAATCGGCTTCTTATTAAATCTGAACAGCTCTTAGGTTCCGGTCAGGCCTGGGTGCTCTGAACTGGCGTTGGGCCGGTCTTCCACCAGCGAGGAGCTGGCCTATCGCCGTCAGTTCTATATGACTAGTAGGAACAACGCGTCGTTGGCTGTGAGTGGTTTCTTATATAAGGTACTCGATTCCATGGCTAACCGCCAGCGTTGTCTCAGGAGCCCATTAGGGACGGAGTATGGAAAGGCTCTTACATGCCTACATACTGATACTATCAAGCCCCCAAGGCGGCTCTCTTCGTGAAGTGGACACCGTGATCAGGTACAAGGAGCCTTGGCAGTATCTCTATTGAACATTCGAAATTCAGATCTGGTCAAAAACCAGTGTTCACGTTTCCTCTCTAGGAAGCAGGCCTACTCGCCTACATGGGTAAGTTGTACCACTCACCATCTGTATACGCTAATCTGTAACTGTTGATTAGCCATGGTATCCTTGGGAGTCTAATGATCAAGACAACGATGCTACCGCCTTTTCAGCATGGTTATTCGACCTTCTTAGCGGGCCTAATCTGGATCAATAACAGGAAGTTATTCTATGCTTGATCCGCTGGTCTTCGAATACCAGATGCATGATAAATGGGTACACCTTCCCGAAGAGGGCTGGAAGCTGACAACCCGTGCGAACAATATCAGAAGAAGACATGCAGATATGCAAAATGCATAGTGCCTCCTTTCTCAATTGCAATGAATGTTCGATCAGAAAGGGGTTCACCAAAGCCGGCGGTCGAGCAATTGGGGTAGGGGAAATAGGGTACCTCGCTCGTCTTCTCACTACAATCGCTTGGCTATAGGGACATCTATTCGAGAGGCACTTTATTGTGAGTTTATAAATCTAAAATTGACAAGCGTTATGATGGACGAGAGCAAAGGGCTTCTGAAAACTAACGTTTCAACTGTTCCAGACGCCCTGAACAAAAATGCCATTACCCCCAACCTCCATCCTGCAACAGCCTGTACGAGCAGGTGAAATATAAAGGCTAGAATTTTCTCGGGGATGCTATTACGAGATGTCCCATTTGCTTGCAGAACAAAGTTCGAAAACATCCTCCATAAGGCCCACTGCAGCCAACTATTCCGTTTCCGAGCCATTCCACACAGCCACGATGGATCTCATGTAATATTTTATCCATACTTCTCCAGCATCTAAAGATGGCAGAAGAGTTTATCTCAGCACCGGATCCAAAGCCTAAATCTTGGTCTGCTGCATTTCCGCGAGCTTATAATACCTCCGTCTGCTAGTCACAAACAGTCGACAATGGAGATCAGGAAGGGCAACTCAACCTCCCGAATACTCCTATTACATACGATCAAGCCTGGTTAAAGTATTATGTCCGAGGGATTTCTGCTTTGGGTACGATGTTCATGCTGAACTTTTGCATATCCCCAGACTGATGAATAGCCAGAGCGAACTATCCAAGCCATCGAAACAATGATGCGTCATGGAATGATATAGCAGAAGTCATGGACGTCTATGATACTTTCGAAGCGCCAATGGAGCTCCGATATATGAAGGTGTCGAGGAGCTTCGCAGGAGGGCTGTAGACCTCACAGTCTGGTGAGGTCGACCTGGCCACCCACGGCCGTCACAGCAATTGACCTAACGACTTTACAAGTATACTTGGAAGCTGAAGATGTGTCAAGATTTATTAAGAATAATTATCCAAAAAGCCAGGAATGGACACAACTGTGTCGAAGACAATCTTGCGACTAAAGAAGCATTGCTTTGATGTCCACGGCCGCATTCGAGGAACATGAGTAGTATAGAGGACGTCATGCACAATTCACAAACAGAGAGAGGAATGCCAGGGCAAATTAGGGACCGAGAGTAAATGAGCGAGGACATTGGTGTAAGGGTGAAGGATTTCGTGCTCATCATTGACATACACAGAGACATGTCCGTTTCAGATAGTGTGACTGGCTTTGAACTGCTGCTACGCACATGTGTCATCACACCTGCACAAGGACTCAAAAGGCTTGTCAGCACAGTGTTCTACGCCGTCAACTTGAAACTCTAAGGCGCTCCGAATGTCAGAAACATACACCAGCCGTAAATAAAAGGATTCGATATCGTGAGATTCAAACAGTCCCGATGATTTTTGATCCGGAGTAGCAGATCTGCACCAACAATGCCAACCGGTTTGGAAGCAACATGCTCTTTATTAATATCGAAGGTAGTCAGACCCAGTAAGGGCACACTCTCTTGGCAACAATATGCATATCATCTACGTCTTGAACCTCCATGTGGAGCTACCCCGGGTTGAGGGAGTCACCCCTTGCGATATTGTGATACTCACGCCCTATGATTTATAGTCATTTTGGGGTTCTTTCGGTATGTTTCGAAGTCGGAGCAGTTTTAGAGACTGGTGCTTTGTAGTGGCATCTAACAACTCGTCCAAAGAGACTACAGATTGTTGAAAAGGGTATAGGCTACCCAAACAACAACGTAGCCAGGGACGCTTTCTGCCAAGGATATTCACATATCTACGGTGTCTTCACTGGCTCCAACACATATATGAACCTGTCGAGAAGCTTGTCAGAGGGACTGCTGATATCACAGTCTGGTATAAGGTTGATCTTATACCATACACAGTCCGCATCATTTCTTAGAGTTCAGCAGTAGGGCTCACCCACAGACGAAACAGAATTTAGTTCTATGAACCAATATTCTTGAATACACCGGCAGTGATGTTCTTGAATTTTTCTTGCTTGACGGCAATCTCCGCAGCTTCACTATATGTTCACGACAGACAGAATCGCTTGCGTCACTGCGGTAGAGAAATCCATACTGCTGAGGAGCAATCCTCGCTACTCTGCGAGTCTCTAGCAGGACCGGCTCTACCGACCTGGTGGAGATTAATCCTTTACCACGACTCGAAATATTCGGCCGTACCGAAATACCCATGTGTCATCAACCCTGAAAGATGCTGGGGTTGGCCCGAACAGAGTTCCGCGAGTACATTGAACTTATTACTTTACAACCGGTCGATCCCGCTATTTACTACAACAAGGAAATCGGCAACGGACTGACGGTGCTTGAGACATGGTTTCTCCGACAGTCGAATAGGGATGTACTCAAAGGTATGTACTAAAAGGTATGGATCTGGAGTCGTGGACAGTTAGTCGTGCTACCGAACATGGCGTCGACACTGCCAACAGAAGGATGTCCCGTATGAACGTTGCTTGCGTTGTTTTATTGAGCTTTCTTGAGATTTGTGTTGCCGACGTACACTGTGTCTGGCATACTATATCAATACCACCATTCTGGATCTACTCGATTTGACTGTCAAAGTCCAACTATACTGACGAAGAATGGAACGCCGACCGGTCTTCGGTACTTCGAGATATGGGTCGAAAGTACCACCCGATCCGTCTATCGACGGAGACATGCACAGCAGTACGCGTCCTCGACGCCGTCCGAGATCTTGACTGGGCGGTCGACCACACAATGGAGCATTAATTCATGAATTCAGCTGCACTGGCAACTACGTCACTGCCCAGGAATTATTTAATAGTGTTAAGGGAGATATACTTGCGACCAGTGGTCTTGTACCTTAGGGCTAGATTTGTCACTGGACGATTCGGTTCATTACTACCGTCTTAACAACCCTAACCCAACCGTGTGCGATACAATGATTGCGACCCAGTATAAAATCATCTTGTCTTACTGCTATCTATCACAGAATCATTGGAGTCAAACTATACTATTTGCATCTTAAAGCTGAACACAACTGAGCGTAACAGATCCATCCGCCATCTTGACCGCCGAAATTTAGAATTTTCTGATGCTATTCCATGGACTTCAAAGGGAAGCGAGGGAGAGCCGCGTCATACAATTTTGCTTGCTTTGTGGTATTTGAGTATGTTAGCGTCGGATGACGAACAATGGGGTTTACCATAATATCCCTCCACAAGGGACATGCGAATGGCTTGCATTTGTGTCTGCTCGAGCTCAGGCCAGATGTGTGGTACGAGCCACGTTCCTGGGGCTTCGAGGCACAAAAGAACTGGTTCAATAACACCGAATTCCAACAGGAAGACCGCGAAGTAGCATGTGGTATGCTGCGCAGCAGAACAAAGAATGGGTGCAGAATGAGAGCCATGCGTCGTTCCGCCTCTTTGAAACTCTGGCAGCCATTTTGAAATGAAGTTCAAGCCTTATCTCAAGGGCTGTATCCTAGCCGACTCAGTAGGGCTTGGTACGACCTGCCCTCTCTGAAAGCCTGGCTCAGACGTCTTGTAGTAATTGGTCCCAGCCCTGGGTCCAAGACCTGATGTCTGTTGATTACCTCGAGAATGGTTCACCTCGTCTATTGCTTTACGATCACATCATATCCCTCTATGAATCAGTTTAGCCGTGGTATCGTTTGATGGATAGCTTTGAAATGAGATCAAACCATCTTTGCTATAATTTACATACAGGCAGAGTACTACGGCGTTTTCTGTCATTGGGACTGCTGTTAATCCTCCAATAGAGGAACCTGACAGCCGAACTCGCGGTCAAATATCAAGCTGTAACAATCCCAGGCTTACCCCCGTTTCCCGTCTCGAAGCTCGGGCCCAGTATGCGAGAGTTATCTTGTGAATCGTGCTGTTCGTCTTCCACCCAGACAGGAGTGCTTGGAGTGGGCCAACCCGGCAGTAGTACTGCCATGGATCGTTCCAAGCTCAACTGACTAGACGATCATGCTTCAGAACAACATACAGGCCTGCAGCTCGCTATCAGTTGACAATCAACCCCTAGTGCCATACAAAAGAGGCGATGCAGCTGGGCAAGCCATGCTGTCGTTGCGTCGTTTCCCCCACCTGGACCGGCAATGGCCGCACAATGTCTCTGTTCGGTCGCTCCTGTGGAAATTGTGTGTGGGCAAAGCGAGGGTCCGCCTGCAAACATTCCATTGCGTTCAAAAAGGACTCGAAAGGGGAGATCGTTAGGGAGAGGTCAACTTGTCTGGGGAGCGACGGCAACATAGAAAACATCCTCGGACGTCTGGGCATCAGATGGATTAGGTTGGCCCGAGACAAACACGAATCTGTATGATAACTGGGTCCTGCTGGCAATCTTTTATGCCACGGTCGAGGAAAGATTTGTGAAGTGGCTGACGGTAATGTGCGCAAGTCCTGCACCAGCCGCAGTATGTTTCAGTGTCTATAGTAAATCATCGTCTTAAGGTATGGAATGCTACTAACACGTCTTTCTTCCTACAGGACTCGTCCGCCGTCTGCCAATGTTACCTCCGGGGGCATCGGGCAGAAGTGCAATAACTACGGATCAGTTCAGCTACTCAGCTGCTATACTTCCAGACTATTTGATTACAAAGATAACACAGGAAACTCGAAGGCATCCGCTAGAAATTCGGAGGTATCATATCAGCAGAGAAGCTTTGTTAAGAAGCTCGTGTGAAAATACTCTGCATCACAGATCATGTATCATACTTTCACCCACAGCGGCTTTTGGCTCTAATGTCGCAAATTGGAAACAGCAGTTATATACTAATCCTCCATCTGGTTTTGATCAATATCGTTCTTACAAGGATGGTTCCATCAAGAAATAAAGAAAAACGATTTTCTGGCAAAGTCAAGGATGGTAGCGATAATTCTACGCATGGTCGAAACAAGAGAAATGGGATTGTTGTAGTTTAACGAAAGACCTTGGAGGAAACAGCATATCAGTGGATGTACCGCTGGTACGCTTCAGAAAGAAGATATCTCTTCCAATTATCAGGAGATATTTCTTTTTCCAGCTACTTTTATACGCTTTCAACCAGGCACGGTCTGAAGCCATGGTAGTATTTCTGTGTCATTGCACTTGCCGACTTGAAGCAATGAAAGATGTGGCTGGAAGACCTTTATTTAAAAGAGAGAGAACACAAATGGGCACCGGCAAAATTATGCACAAGAGATGATCAACTGCACCATTGAAAGAATTAAAATGTCGGTGATGTGATGATCGACTCTAGCGGTAAGAACTACATCTCCTATCTCTTCCTGAAATCCTTTTCAGCTCTACTTACTACCGATCTTCTGATTCTCGCACCAAAGTTTAATACAGAAGATGGCATACAATACTTATACACACTGAATACTATTTGCTGGGTGCTGACTTCAGTGAAACTAGTGTTATCTTACCATGACTTCCCGCCGACGATCATCTTTCTCCCTTAGGGCTTTCGCGTGTATGAATCCTCATAGGATCGTGGTTATCCTACAGAGTGCGAACATAATGCATGGATACCCTTACAGTTTATAAGGATTGACTATCCGGTGATGAAGCTCACTGAGCAGTTTACTACCGCTCTGTTCTTGCTATATGGCCGAATGGGAGAATATACAGTCACTTTCAAAATGACGAATGACGCATTGCCCGAGACTGAAAGGGACTGGCAAGCTACGAGGCCATCAATACTATATTGTCGATTCTTGGTCTCTTGACACGATGACAGAGGTCAACCCTTTGATGAGAAAGAAGCGTCGGTGTTAGTGTAGAAGGCTCAATCTGTGTTGTTGATGATGCATCAAACACACTTCTGTCTACGCTGAGATTCGAGTGCCAGCAGAACATTGTAATAGCTTCCATACACGAGTCTGAGGACGTATATTGCGACTTGGGGCGTTTTTGCAGTATTCCAGCACTCCTATTCTTTCTCAATAGATCAAAGGATCGGTGGAATTGAGAGATGCTGTACCGAAAATGGACTATCCTCTCTGGCTTTTGCTTTGACATTCCTGATAACGCCTTGGACAAGGCTAAAGTTTCCCTACTAATCATTCGAAATGGGCAACGCCGGGCACTTGCTCTTAAAACCCATGGACCACCATGAAGATAGATTGGCTACCCTTCTCGCATCTCTTTGGGCCGGAAATGCTCCTGGCTACTATTTTGGTACTTCGTGCTGAACGGTTGACGATTGCGGATATGGGTTCCCAGATCAAGCCTGTTATCTACCAGCTAACTACAGAAACTATCGTGAACGGCGCGCCACATACAATGAGCCGAAGGGAATGGCCGCCATGAATACGCCTCACCGATACCCACGATCTAAGCAACTTAATCACCGCGAGGGGGATGCCTGGGTAATAGGGACCACCACTTTACGTAGGCGGAGCCGTTTTTCCAAGGTTCCTGGTAACTTGCAGAGCATTTCCTCTGGAATCGCTGGCGGTACTTCTGATGCTATTGAGAAAGATGTCAAGTACTTCCATTACCAGGCTGGAAAAACTGTCTGAGAATTTGGCTCCTTCATACTTTATCTACCAAGGATAAGCATGGTGACCCTGTCCGGGGTAATTATCGTATCATCTACTTAGGTCGGGCCCTGATAACAACTAAATGTCCTTCTGGCGCAGAGAAAGCCCTAATAGGATATGGTTGTTCCGGTAGTTGAATTTATACAGATGATGAGTTTACAACATCGAGGGCCCGCGATGGTTGAGGACTAAGGCAACTGGCTCTCATACATGAACCGATTTAGCTGCAAATATGGCTTTATATACACCTACGAGCATATGTCGTTCATGTCAAATGCAACACGGTGCGTCTTTGATAGCATGATGGGGACGAAGCCTCTTGAGGTACATACAACAGATTCTGCTTTTAAGCAAGTCGCTGTCACGCATACACTACGAAGTGAGAGCCACCACGTCAAGCGATCGCTACATGAATCTCAGCACGTCATGGCTCAGGAAGTGCGTATCCAACAGTCATTTTTCCGAATGGTAGACTATGGCTTGCTAGATGACCCATGGTTGAATTTGCCAAAGGTCGCCACAAACGACTCAATGTAGAGGAAGGAGGCTAAGTATATAATTCACGATTAGGACGAGCCCTCGCTAATGTCTCCTTTCCCCCATAGGGGGTTCTCTATGCCTCCTCTCCCGGTAAGTCTTGTTCCGCTGGCGGTACGCCGGGATGGCGCTGACTATGGCTAGGTTCCCTATGGCCGCTGCGCCGAGGTTGTATCAAACGTTGCCTATATCTCTGATCTGGGATTTACTGTCAACGATTAGGATGAAGGATGCCCAGAATTGCATTGCTGAATGGTTACCGAGTCTTTTAGTACTCAACAATGGTGACGTGGGATCCTCAGGTCCTTTTACCGCTACCATGACGAGAAACCTTTTCTCTAGATCCTTTTTCATCACTACGGGATTATACTTGACCAAGATGTCGTCACCCAAATTGACTCCCCAACGATTTGAACTTACCCGCAGAGAAGTGTTCGGCCCTCATCTCCTGCCAGGCCCGACCTCCTAATGCGATGGTATATCTAGAGATATACCAATTATGGACTGTTCCTGGGGAAGTGCTGCCACCGATCTTAGTCGCACATGGAATCTAGTTAGATATGGATGGGCCTTGGACTCGTCGAGAGACCCGGGGTTGTTAAGACACCTTCGAGAAGCTTAACATCGATACAGACCAAACCAAGATGATAAGAATTGATAAATCATGTTAGACGACCTACCATGATGAAGGAACGTCTGGTTCTATTTTCATTGGTTCTCTTATCAATCTCGATAACAGGAGCAGTGCCTTGTGGGTCAAGACTCAAGGGCGATGAGGAAGGTATTAGTGCGATATTGGAAGTAGGAACAGGGAACTCATGCGACAATACGATAGGATCCGTATGCAGGAAAGTGCGGAGCTTGTGGGTTGGCTGAAGAAGTCATGCAAGCCGTGGAATGAGCTTTTGAATGGGCAGTGGCTGGGTCCAGATTTCTCGAGTAATGAGGATGCTGAACTAGCTACAGTCAAACTGAACCGGACTGGCCGGGGGATCTTACAGGGGATTCTATCTCGACCACAAAGAGACTGTATATCTGATCAGAATGACTGAGGTTATGAAAAACTTGCTGCCAGAATCTGTGGGAACTGGTTGGAAAGCTATTCCCTCGACAGAGCGTTACAATCATCTAGGGGAGAGAGCTGTGTCCACGAGACCCTATCCATTCCAGTTCATATCATGGACGCCTTCAGGCTCCACTGACGAGATACCGTTAGGCATGAGGCTGTCTGCGTTCAGCGCATGCAGAGAGAAAAAGGTCCTTCTCAGATAGACTGGTACTCTGACGGCTGCACAAGGGCTTCTGTCAACTCTTCTAGTATACCTTCTCGACTGGCATACCTTTGACTACCAGAATACCAGAATATAGAAGCCATGCAATAGCTCTGCCAAAGCAAAGATAGATCTCGGATTCAAAGAGAGGTACAGCCTTTGTCTAGTTTTCCTTCTTTAACTCTTCTTCTTTTATTCCTTGGGCTTGATATCGCTTGATAGATGGGCATACAGTTTGATAATGGGATAGGCAGTATCGACTTGAAGATGTACCAGAGTCCTGACATTCCGTCTACTAATATTTTTGGTGATTAAGTTAGAGAACTCGTGCGGAGAGGCGGTATTCCTGAAAAAGGAAATACTTGGAACCAACGGTCCTTCCTACATTGAACTGGGGGGAAAGGGGGAGAGTGAAGCAAGCCACTTGGTGGCAAGAAGCCTGCCTGAAGACGGTGCTGTCGAGTCAAAAAGTGTAACCATTACCGACGGCGTTGAACATTATTGATATTCACAATGACCACAATGACTCAGGAGAGAATACAGAATCATGACAGTGACTCGATCACCAGAAGCACTTGTCTTCCTAATGACTAACCCAACACAAGGCTTCGATCTCAGGACATAAGAAGTGGATACACTTGGCCTCTTGGGCTGCTACTTTTGCAGTGCAACATGTATTACGAGTAGACGATATCAATGCACTAGGCCTGATCAACGATTGCGATACAGATGGAACGTACGGAAGATACAGATTCATGTTAGCCCTCCAGTTATCGTTGAGATGAACAGGCGCAAGTGGATCACCGCATTCTCAAGCCACTACACCTTCACTGGCAGCTGACAGGCGAGAAAGCTTTCGTGGCTTATCAATATCTATTCAGGCGCCGGCGTGTATAATAAAGTCCAAGGCAGAGTGCTTCTTTATACCCCATTG